CCCGATCTCGTTGGCTAATGTGTTGAGAAACGTCCCGTTTAGTGACACGAGCCCTCGTCAGTCTTCAAGTCACCGGCGCTCACGTGTTAAAGCGAAGATGGAGCGACCAACTCGCCATGCTGTGATGTTGGCTCAGGGTTTTTCTGGAAGGTCACGCCACAGTTGTTGGCAGTTTCTCCACCCGTGTGCCCTGATGTGTTGACGCTTCTCGCCCACACACACACACATCCCTCGCACCTCCGCCTGTCAATCTGACTTCACCACCTGAACACGGGTAATAAACTTGCGCGGCAGCTCAATGACACGCGTGTCAATTTGGGTCGTGTTTTCAGCACCTCATTGTTCCTTTGAGCAATTACAGATACACACCTCAGAACCAAAGATGGAGCGTGTGTGTGTGTGTGTGTGCGCTTTCAGGAGAAATCATCAAATATTAACATGTCTCAGACGATTTTAAATGCGAGACTCACGGCTATTTGCTCACGTTTGTCAATAAAACAGTGCACAAATACAGCTTGCGTAATGTTTCTCATCATCTTCTCATTATTAGGATATTATGTGCTGCCGCGTTATTACTTGTCGCATTGTTTTTTCTGAGGTCTAATGTAACAGCATTCAGTGAACGCACGCTTTTCCAGCTCTGTGGCGCTTCATTGAAAACAGATATTAGTGCGTCCATGTTACGCTGCAGCTGCTGTAATTGTCTGAGAGACACGAGGTGTCCGTTCCTCTGTCTCCGTGCGGGAGCAAATCTTCATCTCCTCTCGTTGAGTAATAGTTCACACACACACAATTGAAATAAATTGATTATGGGGTGAAGATTCCTGCGTGCAGTTTATCAACGGTGCAATTATTTCAGTGCAGTGGAAGTGTAAAGATGTGAGCCCATCTAAATGACAATTTTGGTTTAATTATATGTAAATTACAGTGAGCTTTCTTCAGATGGTGTTGTTGGACCATTTTTTTTTAGTGGCGTACTGGCGTTATTACCTTTTTTTTTTGTTGTCATGTGCATTAGTTATTTATAAGTCTAAAATCAAATTAACACCAAACGCTCTGTTAGAAATAACGTTAAAATCTGTTAAAATAACGCTCTGCTATTTTAACAGCTGTCTGCTGCCACTGTTTTGTTGTTTGTGGATTTTTAAAAATCAATTAATATTCATTGATCAATATTTTTTTGACTGCACTGACACTATCAGATGAGAACTGAATTGAGTTGAATAATGAATGGCACTTGTCTTAATCCGATTGGTTTCATAATTGACGAATTTGCAACATTGAACTGAATTGAATCAACATCGACCTGAATTCATCCGAATAATGACACTATTGTCCGTTTAGAGCCGCAGAATTTGAATAAGTCTCATATTTGATGAAGTTTGCATCATCGATTCTGTTATTTTTCTGTTTATCACAGTGAAGCTGCTTTGAAACAATCTGTATTGTGTAAAGCGCTGTAGAATTAAAGCAGACTTGACTTGTTTTGGGCTTGTTGGGAGTGTTTTAGAGCATTTTATCTAAAAACGGCATATGAAATATTTGCTGGCTTTGAAAGGATCTGTATTGTATAAAGCGCTACGGAAATAAAGGCGACTTGGGTTGTTGGGAGTGTTTTAGAGCGTTTAATCTAAAACCGGCTCACACTCATTTGTGCATTTGAAATATTTGCTGGCGTTTGTGGGCCATTTGATTGAATAGTGCTAATCTTAATGACTGTCCGTATGCAAACGGCAATTGAAAAGCACCCTATAATTATTGATTTAACCCTCTTGAAATAGATCTGGCGTGTGACCCGGCCTCTGTAGACCACCAGCCCTCCCAACAACGCGCACGGGGGGTATTTCTGGGGTTGGGGGTGAAGGTAAACCACCCACGTCTCCCCCCTGACACCTCGGGCTCGGCTGTTTGGCTAATGAAGAGCTCAATTTAGCCAGTGACGTGCCGCGAGCGCAGTCGCGCGCTCTGACTGGCTGAGCGCTAATGACATCACGTTGGCCAGCCGTTGATTTGCCGCTGTCTCTGAGGCTTCGGGCGAGAGTCTCAGCCATGGGCTTCGAGATTTAGACGCATGCAGAGAAGCTCTCGCTGAAGACTGAGACACAGAGAGGAGGAGGAAGAGGAGGAGGCGCTGCTTTAGGGAGCGCAGAAGCACATGCAGTCTCTGGTAATATGGAAACTAACCCTCTGATCGATGGAAATAATGACAGCGAACATGTGTCAGGTGAGTGTTCGATGCGGACGCACAGGTAATCCGTGAAGATTTAGTTGTTAGAAACTTCGCTCAAGGCAGGAAAACAATGCAAACTGTTTGTTTCAGGGTGAATTTCAGGTTTGCTTTGGATAAAAAGCGTGTGCTAAATGCATAAATGTGACTGTAAATGAATATGGTGCTGCTTTATTTGTCGTTCATGCCGTACCGAGGTGAATGTGCTGCTGGGATCTCGACATCTGTGAAACGTCTCTTCCGATCTCAGTTCATTGTGATGGAGACGTTCTCCAGTTTTCCAGTGTTATAAAAGCGTGTGCTAAATGCATAAATGTGACTGTAAATGAATGTGTTGCTGCTCTAGTTGTTGCTCGAGGTGAATGTGATGCTGGGATCTTCCGATCTCAGTTCATTGTGATGGAGATGTTCTCCAGTCCGGTGTTGTAGTGGATAAAAGCGTGTGCTAAATGCATAAATGCATATGCTCTAGTCGTGGGGCTCATGCCGTTTCCCTTCATTCAGGAGGTGAATGTGCTTTTGTGAAACGTCTCGTCCAAACTCCTTCATTGCGATGGAGACGTTCTCCGGTCCGGTGTTGTATTGCTGAGCTGGTGAGGACATTCATGTGCTGGGACGGGTTATTAATGTATGAGCGCTAACGGTTGCTGTGAAGTGCACTTGATCAGTGTGTGATGACTGGTTGTATTTCAGTATGAAGTTTGGCGTTTGTGTGTGTTTTACCTGTACTGTCCTCTCTGTGTGTGTGTGTGTGTGGAGATGGGCTTTGTTCAGTGTGTTTCATGTGGTCGTGTAATCGAGCAGGATGAGGCGTTTGATCACACAAGCGTCTTATGAACGGCATCCGAGTGTCAGATTTATAAATGCATTTAATTTAATTCTGTTAAATCTAAACTTGACTTGAAAATTCAGTTTTTCTCAATCAACATAGTGACGCTATTGTCTTTTCAGAGCTGCTTTAAAGCTGAATTTGTCTCATATTTGATGAAGTTTGCATCATTGATTCTGTTATTATCCCTGTACTGTATAAAGCGCTGTAGAAATGAAGCATTTTTTATTTATTCAAATTAGAATTCGAAACTTGCTGTCTCGGTTAATATCACCAGACTCGCTCTTCTTAATTTTGTCCCAATTTATTTAATAATAAACTGTTTTGTACTGTATTTTTAGGCAGCTGTCAATCATCTGAGGATAATTGACTGAAAACAACGACTTGCGGAGCAGATGGGGCTCGTATTAATAAGTACGCCGTGGTTATGAATGTATGAAGGAAAAGCTCTATAACAAAAAGCTATATTTTATTATATGCAATCGTTAATTAACCTGATGATGCGTCTGCGAAATGCATAAATGTATATGAATGATTACAATGCTGGGTTTAAATAGTGAATTTACTGTTCGTTTTTACGACAGCCTTTTATATTTTTAGAATAGATTTTTATTTTTTTACACACAGTCCTCAGTTTTTCAGTTTCTGAGACGTGGCTTATATTGGCAGGCGTCTGTGTTGAACAAACTGGCGATCCCAACAGCGGCGCTCGTCTCATTCCACAAACGGCACGCAGAACAAACAGCTTATTTGTCTAAGCTGACAAAATCAATACATGTGCAGCGCTCGTCTGACAGCAACACCTATGTCTCATTTGGATGTGATGTTTCAGGAGTTCAGATTGATAGTGCCATCGAACTGTGTATTTCTCTTTTTCCCAATCCTCCTGTCAGCAGTTCCCGGCGCGCTCGACCGTGAGACGTCTCATTCAAACATCGTTTCTGTCTGCTACACACGGGCCTATTAGCGGCGAATGTGGACTCCATCCTCAGACGCTCGGCAAAACACTGATTTATGGAAATCCAGTCATGTTTTCAAGCCTCCATCAGAGTTTGTAAACTGTTGTGTATTTTACATTCAGTGTGACCAATTCTGTGTCCTTGTTTTAAAGGTGTGTGTCCGTGCAAACGTATGGTGTCGCCAGATCCTGGCACGCGTGCGTCCCTTTCCTCCTCTTTGTCCCCTGCCGAGTCTCCATCTTTGCTGGCGTCCGGTTCGGATAAGAGAACAAGCTGTTTCTCTCTGCATTACGGCCCAAATGCTGTTCGAGTGCTGCGTTTAGAAGGGAATATGAGAGGTTGCAGAATTCATTTTGAAGGATGTTTGCGAGTGTAGCGCGCCGTCACTCCCACATGCGGCGAACAGACGCAGTGATTTGACAGCTACCTGTGTGTGTGGGTGTGTGTGCGCAATGACAACACACACACCCTGAGGCTTCAGATCTCATGAATATCAATCAGCCGCGGCCATCAGCCTCTTAAATAATGCAGAAGCGGCGCCTCGCTCGCATTTGGCTGATAAATGCGTTGCGTTGTCAGCGCTCTGCCCCGGCGAGTGTTTGTTTCCTGCACCCTCTTTCATCCCTGGCCTTGTTTTCATGTCGTTTTACTAAAGGTCAAAGTGCATCGCAGGGAAATATTCAATAATGCTCTGCATTAGAACTCATTCAAAAACCACAAAACAGGGTAACTGGCTGCTTCGGCTCAAGTTTGCAAGCGATTAAAGCGTTTTTAATTCTTGCATTCATGTTCTGACCCGTCATTTGCAGGCTTATTTAGTAAGATTATGCCTAAAAAGTTAGTCATGTTAATAAAAAAAATGAAAAGTATAATGTTTTATTGTATTTATATGATATTTGTATTTTTGTAATTGAATTTTTGCCATGAAAATAGCCTTAGATGCTGACATGGCATTAAATAAAACTCTATCTCTCTGTGTTTGCAGGTTCTTGAAGGACATGAGAGGCTTGTTGGCGGCCGGCGCTGTTGTGATCTGGCTGTGGTGCTGGTGAAGAGGACATGGGCCGCCGCTTCAACTCATGCCACAACACGCTCAACAGCGCCACTGAAACGGACCAGGGTTCGGTCTTCACGCCAGGGCGACGTCAACAGGCCGCCATCGGGTAACGGCGCCGCTCGCGACGCTGAAAAACTCTCGTTTAGTCAAGTTTTTAGTATAAGGAGAAGATCCACCAACATGTTCTTTATCCCTGAAGGATGTTTTATTATGTTGCGCTGGGTGTAACCCAGTGAGAAACCTTTTTATATTGAGGTAACTCTTCAAAACTTCAGCAAAAATGTATTTTAAAAACATGATATTTTTTTACTATAAATAAGAGACGGGTGTTTTTTGTTGTTTTTTAACGCCCAAGCAATGCTAACAAAATGTAATTCAGTTTTTTTTTCTGCATAAGATCAGTTTCATAACTTCAATCAAACACTAATATTTTTGAGCTGGTCCTTGTGCGTCAATGGACAGAAAATAATACTGAAAACTAACAGCATGACAGATGTGAAAAATGAATCCTTAATGCACCTTTGAATTTTGCATATGTATGATACTAAAAATTCATTAGTAAGTACTAAAAATACTATAGTAATGGATTATAGAAAATTTCACTGGAGCACAGTGTTGCTTTTAGGCAACACACTTAAGCAATTCCTCAAAATCATACAAATAATTCATACTTAATGAAATTTTAAATCTAATGATGTTTTCTTACCCGATTCTTTTTTTTTCTTTCAATGGGTAAAAAAAAGAAAAGAAGCTTTTCCGTGGGCAAAAATGTGTGTTTTAAAACACCAGGATATAGTGTGACGAAGAGAGAGAGCTTTCTGCTAGTCTATAAAAAGTTTTTTTTATTTATTTAATAGGCATTTTATTAGTCATTTTGATTCAGACGCCATCCCCGTCGCTCTTTAGGTAGATGTTTTTGCGTGCAGTTCGATGCTAACGCCGGCTGCATTCACAGGGTTCGCCACCATCTGGATGAGGTGTCGTCTCGGTGGGGATTTGGACCGCCGCGCGTGTTAGAAATCTCACTCTGTGCTAACGTGTTAATGAAAGTCTGAGACTGGTGTAATTCTCATTAACTCGTTTTGCCCTTCAGATTCTTGTGCAAGACATTCGGCTCATAATTGCTAGAGGTTAATTGGTTTGGGTAACAGCACTCACGCACACCGTCTCCCTAGAGAACTCAACTACGTCATTGAAGACGTCATGCATTCAAAAAAATATAAATTCATGCTTTTTATGCTCATATTGACTGATTTGCAGCAAATACCTGCGGTTTGTAGTTAAATCATGAAAAGCACAAACGCTTGAGATTTATATGTGCTTAATATGGGTGTAATAATATATCGTGACACAATATATCGCAATACAAAAATGCAGCAATATGTATTGTGTATAGTTCACCCAAAATTAAAATGTCAGTGCATGAAAAAATTCAAGATTACAGAGTTTTAGTGTCAGTACTACATTAAACTACTATATATAATGTTGAATATGATGTATAATAATGCAATGGGGAATATCTGTGGGTCCTGATAATGCCAAATGTCTGATGTTACCAGTAAAATTGGCCTTCATTATTTAAAATATATCTATTCGTGAAACAATGCAAGCATATTCGTCTAAAATAATTCTGTTTTCAGCGTCAGAATCATGAATATTGTTATTCTGGTGTCTCTATTGTCCTGTGCTTTGGGTTTCCAACACCAAGCCTATTCATTTACACCCCTAATGTAAAACCATATTTAGCATTTTAATCAAACCTTTTATCATATGTCGTGGAGTATCTCAATAATATCGTATCGTGAGTTCAATATGAGGGTATCGTAATGATAAAGCAACCGAATCAGCCACTGATGATATTAGAGGTAGTTTCTTTTATTATTATTTATTTTTTGTAGAAATGCATTAAAATAATTCAAGCGTGTGTTTTAGGTTCCAGGCTCTTGGTAGACGCTCCAAGTAGCCGTGTCTGATGAGGATGTCTGATACTGTCAGTGAGACTATGAGAGCTCTGGACGAAAACACCTCGACCGCAGCCGACGCCGACACGTCACAGAACCAACGCCGCCATGAAGACTGCAGCGACGACAGGACCGAGACGCAGGTAATGTGTGGCAGGACAAAAGCGGCTCGCTTTCCTTCAGAGCCGCTCATTTCAGTTGAAGTTCCCAGCGTAAAGAACAAAAATGTAATTGGAGAGAAACGGATGAATTTTGGTAACACTTTACAATAAGGTTCATTAGTACACATTAGTTAACATGAACTAATAATGAACTGCACGTATACAGCATTTATTAATTTCAACTAGGGCTGTCAGTTAAACGCGTTATTAACGGCGTTAACGCAAACCCATTTTAACTGCGTTAATTTTTTTACCGCGCGATTAACAGTCTTTTTGGCCTAGCAAACTTTGTAGTTTTTTTCACATGCTTTTGCAACAGGACGCGGCGATGCGCTATGAAACCTATTCATGTCAATGGCTTGCGCCGCGCGAGGACGTTTTGTTGCTTCGTCGACCAAAGCGCAAGCGGATCTAACGTTAGCTAGACCGGAAACAAAACAACAGGCACGCCACACACACTCGTTTGGGCTTGCGAGCCGGCCAAATAGTAGGTTAACGTTACGTTTTGAGTGGGTGACGAGCGCGAGACGCCGAAATGGAGGCCAATAAGATTCTGAATGGAAAGTTTACTTTTAAAAAGTTGCCAAATGGGTCCATTGACGACACCAAAGTGATCTGTGTGTTTTGTCGTTGTGAACTGAGCTATCATCATCATCGCAGCACGTCCAGTCTGAAACACCACTTGATGATGGCCAAGCACACACACACACACACACACAGCTGATGCGAATCGTCAGTCGTCAGTATTTCTTTCACCCTTTTATAGATGGACAGTGTTACATTGTGTGAGAGATTATTTGCTCCAAGTGAGAATGCTAGTGTGAAATTGAACACAGTATATGCTAATGTTGTTTTCAATAAAAAACATTTGCACAAAGCAAGCCGATCCACTTTTCCATGTTGATAAGAGCATTAAAATGAGAAAAAAGAATGGGACAAAAAGAAATCAAGAGACATTTAGAATAGATAAAAATGTGCGATTAATTGCGATTAAATATTTTCATCGTTTGACAGCACTAATACGCATCGGACTCAGTGTGCAAGGTCTCTATGCATGACGAATTTTTGTGTGACGAATACGAAAAAACGCACATGAAAAATTCTGAATGTGCGATTAATCGCGAGTTAACTATGACATTAATGCGATTAATCGCGATTAAATATTTTAATCGTTTGACAGCACTAATTTCAACATTTACTAAAATCTTGTTAACATTAGTTAATGCACTGTGAACTAACAATGAACGGCTGTATTTTTATAACTAACGTTAACAAAGATTAACAAATACAGTTACAAATGTATTGCTCATGGTTAGTTAACACATTAACTAATGAACCTTATTGCAAAGTGTTACCGAACACTCAAATGAGATGAAGACTAATAATAGTACAATAATATTATTATTATTTTGCACGCAGCTGGTTATGTAATGCTCTGCAGTGATTGGATTTAAATAAACGTAAATATTTATGGAAAAATAGCACATTCATATGTGGTTTTGAATCGATGGTTAGCCCCCTACAGGCCGTTTGCTGTAATGACCGGCACACCGTACATTGTTCTTCGCACATATTGATCATTATAGTTAGTTCTGTGCTGCAGAACCGGATTGTCCCTTTGTTTGTACGGAGAGCAAGGGTCAGCAAAACAAACGACCGACGCGATTGTTCTGTTTAGCCACAGAAGCCCTCAGGAGTCGAGCGATCAATCGCCGGGTAATTGTGTTATGAGAAGCGGCAGACATGGACAGACTCTCAGCCGTCTTCAGATGGTGAAGGTTACAGCACTGCCGACACTTTCCTTTTTCTTTTCGTTTAATTCCCTTTGTCATCTTTGAAAAGCGCTAGTGAAAGGAAAGCGGATGACCGAGTCAACAGCCGTGAACGTGCCGCATGTTGCCCGAAGGGACTCAGCGAGGGTCTTTATGGCCATCTGGCTCTTCTCTTGCAGATCTTGGCAGCTCCGGCACACAATGCAGCTCTACCTGTGTGTTTTACCGAGAGCGCAGACGGCCACGTTACACAGATTCTTCCAGCATCAGTTGTCAGAGAGGCTCTGTGTGGCCTTATGCCAGATTCAGCCTCTCAGGGAATACATTATGTTCAATAGCCAATTAAAGCTGAATAACCATCCGTCATTATTCAGTAAAGACACCCTGTGCTTATTAACTATCGGCCACTTCTCTCCGTCGAGGCGGAGAGAACAACCGAGACAAAAGACATGTGAACAAATTATGTACTCACTGTGTGTGTGTGTGTGTGTAATATATATATATATATATATATATATATATATATATTACACACACACACACACACACATATATATGTATGTAAATGTATATATATATATGTACACTCACCGGCCACTTTATTAGGTACCCCATGCTAGTAACGGGTTGGACCCCCTTTTGCCTTCAGAACTGCCTCAATTCTTCGTGGCATAGATTCAACAAGGTGCTGGAAGCATTCCTCAGGGAGTTTGGTCCATATTGACATGATGGCATCACACAGTTGCCGCAGATTTGTCGGCTGCACATCCATGATGCGAAGCTCCCGTTCCACCACATCCCAAAGATGCTCTATTGGGTTGAGATCTGGTGACTGTGGAGGCCATTTTAGTACAGTGGACTCATTGTCATGTTCAAGAAACCAATTTGAAATGATTAGAGCTTTGTGACATGGTGGAAGTAGCCATCAGAGGATGGGTACATGGTGGCCATAAAGGGATGGACATGGTCAGAAACAATGCTCAGGTAGGCCGTGGCATTTAAACGATGCCCAATTGGCACTAAGGGGCCTAAAGTGTGCCAGGAAAACATCCCCCACACCATTACACCACCACCACCAGCCTGCACAGTGGTAACAAGGCATGATGGTTCCATGTTCTCATTCTGTTTACGCCAAATTCTGACTCTAACATCTGAATGTCTCAACAGAAATCGAGACTCATCAGACCAGGCAACATTTTTCCAGTCTTCAACTGTTCAATTTTGGTGAGCTCTTGCAAATTGTAGCCTCTTTTTCCTATTTGTAGTGGAGATGAGTGGTACCCGGTGGAGTCTTCTGCTGTTGTAGCCCATCCGCCTCAAGGTTGTGCGTGTTGTGGCTTCACAAATGCTTTGCTGCATACCTCGGTTGTAACGAGTGGTTATTTCAGTCACTGTTGCCCTTCTATCAGCTCGAACCAGTCTGGCCATTCTCCTCTGACCTCTGGCATCAACAAGGCATTTCCGCCCACAGAACTGCCGCTCACTGGATGTTTTTTCTTTTTCGGACCATTCTCTGTAAACCCTAGAGATGGTTGTGCGTGAAAATCCCAGTAGATTAGCAGTTTCTGAAATACTCAGACCAGCCCTTCTGGCACCAACAATCATGCCACGTTCAAAGTCACTCAAATCAACTTTCTTCCCCATACTGATGCTCGGTTTGAACTGCAGGAGATTGTCTTGACCATGTCTACATGCCTAAATGCACTGAGTTGCCGCCATGTGATTGGCTGCTTAGAAATTAAGTGTTAACGAGCAGTTGGACAGGTGTACCTTATAAAGTGGCCGGTGAGTGTATATATATATTACACACACACACAGTGTATTTATTTCATATATATATATATATATATATATATATATTAAATAAATATATAATATTTAAATGTAAATTATATACACTTAATATTAAATGTGTATATATAATTTAAATGTTTTGAATGGTTGTTTTATATATACTGTATATACAGGGTATATATATACAGCATATATATATATATATATATATAAATGTAATATATGGCATTTTTTATATAATATAAACATTATATATTTATTGAATAGGTTTTTAAATTATAGATAGTTTTAATATAATCATTTTATATATTTAATTGGTAACACTTTAAATTAAGGAACACAATCACTTTTAATTATATTAAATATATAATATTTACATTTAAATTATTGTTTTTTTGTAATATAATTTTTATAAATTTCCCTCAATAAACTCCTAATTACTGCTTATTGATAGTAAGGTCGTTGTTGTAGTGGTTATGTGAATATGGTCATGCAGAATAAGGCATTAATATGTGCTTTATAAGTACTAATGAACAGCCAATATCCTAGTAATATGCATGCTAATAAGCAACAACTTAATACTCAATGTGTGTTCCCTAATCTAAGTGTTACCATATAACTTTATATATTTATTTTATTATATATAATTTTTTAATATAATTTTTTTTTTCTCCAGTGTGTCCAGAGTGATTCTGTAATGGGTTTTTATCCCGAGGGATCATATTTCCATTATATTATATTAGCAGAAACCTCAAAGGTATCCTAAAAAGGACATTTCAAGAGCGTGACACTCTTTTTTTCTTCTTTTTTTTTCTCGTGTCCAATGAGGAATGAGGGAAGATGGCAGCTGTAAATCTAATGATGGCTTTTGATTGACACTCCTGCCTTTTATTAATCTAATCGTGTCCAATATATTTGAATGGAACGTTTTCATAAATCCCAGGACTGGTTTAGTGTTGAATATATATTTATTTCTACGCCAGTGTTCCGGAGAAATAATATTCCTGTGGTCGATCTCAGAAACAAACTATATTTTTCCCTAAATGAAACACAATCCATGAAGAAAGAAGAAGCAGTTGCTGGTTCACTCATGTGATGTTTAATCGCTAGGAAATGATGCATCTTTTCACATGATACAACTGAACAACTCATTCATTTAACCTCATAAAAACAAAAAAAACTCTTTCCTTTTCCCTTAATCCTCCCTTGTCTGGCTTCTGCTACTCTGAGAAACGCCTGCACTTTGAATTTTGAGTACTTCTTGCATCGTTTTTGCCTCTTCACGATGACTCGCTTTAATTTAGTCTTTAACCTTGGATAAAAGCGTCATACAGGAAAAGTAGTTTTTCTTATAAGTGGTTCAGATGAATGTGTCCTTATGTCGGTTTCTCAGTAGCATCTCATGCAGAGCTGAGCTTAGTTTGTGATTTCGAAACATTAATCTCGGTGGGATTCACATGCTTCATTTTGTCTCATTGCCCACCATACAGCGGCAAATACCCGGACAAGGCACTAAAAGACCCAAGGTACCGCGTCCTGAGGCATGAGCACGTGTGTTTGCTGCTTCCATCCGCCGGACGGTTCAGTGTTTGCTGTCGGTCACTGTGTGTTTGTTCATTGTAACGGGCGGCTTGTGTGTTTTGAGTAGTTCGGAGACGTCGCCATGTACCGCCGTCATGATTTGGTTCAGTTCTCTGCATGATTCTCATCAGTTCTTCCTGAGGATCACACGTTTGCATTCAGTTTGATGAGGCCGTTTCATAATCAGTGACCCATGTTTGTTATGTTTGCATGGGATTTTTAAAATAAACACTGCCGTTCAAAAGTTTTTGATCAGTACGTTTTTTAAAATGTTTTAAAAAGAGTCTCTTCTGCTCACCAAGGCTGCATTTATTTGATTAAAAATACAAAAAAAAAACAGTAATATTGTGAAGTATTATTACAATTTAAAACCGCTGTTTTCTGTGTGAATATATAGTAAAGTGTAATTTATTCCTGTGATTCAAAGCTGAATTTTCAGCATTATTACTCCAGTCTTCAGTGTCACATGATCCTTCAGAAATCACTCTAATATGAAGATTTGTTGCTCAAGAAACATTTCTGATTATTATTAATGTTGAAAACAGTTATTTATATTTTTATTTCAGGATTTTTGATGAATAGAAAGTTCAAAAGAACCGCATTTATATGAAATAGAAAGCTTTTGTAACATTAAACACTACCGTTCAAAAGTTTGGGGTCAGTAATAATTTTATTCCTCAACTTTCTTTTCATCAAAGAATCCTGAAAAAAAAATTGTACACAACTGTTTACACCTGATAATAACGAATGTTTTTTCAGCATCAGATCCTCATATTAGAGTGATTTCTGAAGGATCATGTGACACTGAAGACTGGAGTAATGATGCTGAAAATTCAGCTTCGATCACAGGAATAAATGATATTTTACTATATATTGAAATAGAAACCATTATTTTAAATTGTCATAATATTTAACAATATTACTGTTCTTTTTGTATGTTTAATCAAATAAATGCAGCCTTGGTGAGCAGAAGAGACTTTTAAAAAAGCTTTAAAAGCATTAAAAATCCTAAACCTTTGACTGGTAGTGTATTTGCTCCCTGTTTTCAGGGGTTGGTTTTGCCGTACGTTCATGCACTTCTGCTTGTGAAAGTCAATGACTCTCTGTGTAACCTTCACCCGTACTCTTCTCCAGTCTAATGCAAAGTTAAAGTTAGTTCGGAGCCTGGCCATTTGTGAAGAACCCTCTCCTTCCACAATTACCACACAACTGCCTCAAGACCACCAGGTAAACATCATCAACGGTCAATGCAATCCAGCTCATGACGTGCTGCTCGACACACATGCATCATGTTTTAATGAGTTCAGATGCATATTACAGGAAATCATTTCAGATTTTTTCACGTTGTTTACCATGTTTCAATCATACTGTACATTTCGCCCTGCTGTGACTAGTAATAATTCTGCTACATGATACTAATATCTTATATACAGGTGAAACTGGAAAAATTAGAATATGGTGCAAAAGTTCATTTATTTCAGTAATTCAACTTAAAATGTGAAACTAATATATTATATAGACTCATCACATGCAAAGTGAGATATTTCAAGCCTTTATTTGTTATAATTGTGATGATTATGGCTTACAGCTTATGAAAACCCCAAATTCAAAATTAGAATATTGTGAAAAGGTTTTCATATCTGTAAGCCATAATCAAAATTATAACAAATAAAGGCTTGGAATATCTCATTTTGCATGTAATGAGTCTATATAATATATTAGTTTCACATTTTAAGTTGAATTACTGAAATAAATGAACTTTTGCACCATATTCTAATTGTTTTTTCACTGTTATATGGTAGGGGGCGCTATTACGCAACTTCTGAACGAGTACCGAATCTCCTGATCAAAGCACATGCGAAGAAGCACCAGAAACAAGCGATATCATATGTTAGCATATGCATATGTATAATAACGCGATCATCAACATTAAACAGCATGTGAATCAAAACTGCCAAATGTTACTGAATGAAATGTGGAACCATGACGAGCTCTAGGGGTGTGAAGCTTTAGGGGTGTTGATGGACTCGATCTACTCCATCTGTGTTTTGATAATCATTCTGAATCACACCCGGACGTAGTTTTTAACAAAACACAGATTTTTCTCAGCTTTTTGCTCAAAATGTTGCTTTTTTATTAAACTTACCCACATTTAAGTGTTGATAAAAAAGGAATGCATGAAGCTAGAATAAACCTGTTTTATTTTAATATTTTGATTATTCTTTCTTTTGTTATATTGCATATTCAGATACATTCATACAATACTAATTAAAATAATTACATTTTCTCTTTTTCTTGTCAGTATTGCTGTTTGATTGTCATTAACGGCAATATTATTAATAACAGACCACTTAATTAATGCTATTCATCTATTCCTTTTATCACAGTTCCATTATGAGTGGCTTTATTAAAAATATGATTGAGGTAGTTAGCAAGAACTGTGATGACATAAACACAAGTCTATATTTTCATTGAGAAATTGGTGTAGTGTTGTGGAAAATTAGCTTATTGTTCTGCTCCATTAGCGTTGTGTTTATCTTCGCCCCGCAGGATAGAGATCATATTCAATTCTCCCAGACGTTTGACAAAGAAGATGCGCCTCTTACGGCAAACGACGATGATGATAAAGACAAAAGTGCCAACAAGCTTGAGAAAATGCCACGCAAGATGCTGTCCAGAGGTGCGTTGTGTTGTGGGATTTAGATTTTAAAGACAAAGAACATGTTAAAGGTTAACTTGTTCTCGTCTCTTTGAAGATTCCAGCCAGGATTACACGGACTCCACCGGCATCGACCTGCACGAGTTCTTGGCGAACACACTGAAGAACAACCCCAGGTTAGACACCTTTGACCTTTATGAGCACACTGTCCACAACCAGTGCCTCTCTTAATCTCAGGCCTTGTCCACACGGATTTTTATAACCGGAGATTTTCCTCCTGCGTTTAAAAAATAAATCCCGTCCACACATGCTCGGTTTAAAAAAAAATCTCTGTCTACATGAAAACGCAAAAACACGCTATCAAGCGCTGTCAAGAGCATGCCACACCAGCAGGCGGCGATATAACCCTAACCGTAAAGCCACGTTGGCCAATCAGAAGCCTAACAAAAAGGTAATACCGTTTCCGGTAGGCGGATAACGGCGCACAATCTGACGTCGCAAGGCAAAAACCCTGGTTTTACTGTCTACACGACAACACTGTAACCAGCGTTTCTGAAAATCCTCACCCTGGCAGTGATATTTTTTTCCCAGGATGGTAGGGGAAGGTACCGCCTTTTTCGCCTCTGATTGGCTAGAAGGGCTCTCCTCCGATTGGTTATTTGATTTGGCCGTTAAACGTCATCTCTTCAGATGAGAAGTTACGCATATACACAACCTCTAAACCTACCCATCACACACACACTAACCCGACCCCTAAACCTACCCATCTCACACACACACACACTAACCCGACCCCTAAACCTACTCATCACACACACACACACACTAACCCGACCCCTAAACCTACCCATCACACACACACACACACACTAACCCAACCCCTAAACCTACCCATCACACACACACACACTAACCCGACCCCTAAACCTACTCATCACACACACACACACACACACTAACCCAACCCCTAAACCTACCCATCACACACACACACACTAACCCGACCCCTAAACCTACCCATCACACACACACACACACACTAACCCAACCCCTAAACCTACCCATCACACACACACACACTAACCCGACCCCTAAACCTACCCATCACACACACACACACACTAACCCGACCCCTAAACCTACCCATCACACACACACACACTAACCCAACCCCTAAACCTACCCATCACACACACACACACACACACACACACTAACCCAACCCCTAAACCTACTCATCACACACAAAAACACTAACCCGACCCCTAAACCTACCCATCACACACACACACACACACTAACCCAACCCCTAAACCTACCCATCACACACACACACACACACACACTAACCCAAATCAAATAACCAATCGGAGGAGAGCCCTTCTAGCCAATCAGAGGCGAAAAAGGCGGTACCTTCCCCTACCATCCTGGGAAAAAAATATCGCACCCTGGCAGGGTTTTTTTAAAAATGTTCGGTTTCAGTGTCCTGATACTGCGTTTTCGTGTGGACGAACGGCCGAACCGCGTTAAAAAGTCACGGTTATAAAAATACCCGTGTCCGTGTGGACAAGGCTTCAATTTTAATTTATTTACAAAGCACAATTAAAAACAACCACATGTTCTAAAACCAAAAAACGATGAATAAAAATAAAACAAAACAAAACAGAACAACTACAGACAACAAGGGACATCACAAGTGATGAGATGTTTTTAATTTAAAAATATATAATGTTGGTGCAGTTCTAATATGAATCGGTAAACCGTTCCTAAGTTTAGGTGCGGCTATGGAAAATGCTCGGTCACCCCTAGAGTTTATCTTTGACTTTGGAACAGTTATTACGGATTAATTGTTAAACTTGATGCGTAATACTTCATTTGACCTCCAGGGGTGGTCATTCGACATTTCCTGAAGGATGATATTCGTTTTAGTTATTTTTTACCCTGTTGTGGTTATATTTATACCCGTTTTGAATCAAATGGCTAAATGTCGACGTTTATCGACAGGGACCGGATGATGTTGCTGAAGCTGGAACAGGACATCCTTGACTTCATCAGTAATAATGAGTAAGTCCTGTTTAATTTTTTTCCAAAATGCATTTTTTTTCTGTTTGAATTTTTCTGGATTCCATTTTAATTGTTACATTTAATGCAAGTAATCAAAAAGCATGTGGAATAAATTTAAATAATGAAATGTATACAATATAGCAACAGTTTAACAAAGGTTAAATTTTAGGGCCCTGTGAAATCCATTTAAAGAAAAATCACAAACTCTTTTCCATTTTAATATATTTGGATGCTTTTTTAATTGTTTAACTCAATTTTAATAATCAAAAGTCTAATCAATTGAATGCATGTTGAGTTATTGATGTGGTTTCTGTATGTTCCAGGTGTCAGAGGAGAAAGTTTCCGCCCATGACCTCCTATCACCGAATGCTCCTGCACCGAGTCTCCGCTTACTTCGGCTTAGACCACAACGTCGACCAAACCGGGAAATGTGTCATCATCAACAAAACCAGCAATACACGAATGTGAGAGACTGTGGCGTCTTTTGCATTCGATCCTTTTGAAATGAGTTTTAGAGCAGAAACGTAATTACGAGGGATTTGAGATAGGATTGTCAATGTGACGGAATAAAGCGGCCGTAAACACAGCGCTTCTCCTGGAAAGTGTCTCATTTGTATTTCTCTCTCTCTGTTCCCCCGACGTGTGCAGACCAGATCAAAAGTTTTCCGAACACATCAAAGACGACAAGACGGATGATTTCCAGAAGCGCTACATCTTAAAACGGGACAACTCCAGCGTAGACAAAGACGACAACATGGTAGGCTGCTAATAAAGCCAACATCAAACAGGCTATTAGTTCGCATATTAATGCACAACGTAATGTAATTCTTCATATACTGCAGGGAGAGTTCAAAGAGCGTTTTGTGTTTCAGATGCGTATGAAACTAAAAGAGGACAGGAGAAGCAAGTCAATCGAGGAGCGTGAGGAGGAATATCAGAAAGCGCGAGAAAGGATCTTCGCTGATGTAAGATGCATTAACAACTACATGATCGTGTGCTTATGGGTCTTTGAAATGCAATTTTAACAGCCTTGAATCTCTTTTGCAGGGTTTAGACACCTTCACTCTGGATCAAAGGTGAGTGTAAGACGAAAGACACAGAATTTAAGGGAAACACATGTAGAGCAACGCCACGATCATGGGTTTGATTCCCAGGAAATGCTTGAACTGATATATAATATAGTCACTTTTTGGATTTGGATTAAAGCTTCTGCCTAATGCATACATGTCAAATGATGGGTGTTTCATGCTCTGAGCTGAATATTTACATTTATGCATTTAGTTTCGCTTTTATTCAAAACGACTTACAAAAAAGGAACAAAAGCAGTTCGTACAACATTTGTAATATACAATGTCATATTATAGGAATAGAGAAAATCAAGTCCCGCCCTATAGTTTTTGTTCTATTTATTAAATATCATGCATCACTCAGAAATATTATGCTTACATTATGGGAGTAAATGGGTGCCAGACAGTATTTGATTTGACTATAAACTTAATATTCAGTATTATTACCAAATTAACCACTCAACCAGATGAGAACAAAAACTTGAACTGAATTGACTGTTATCTGTAGAGCTGCTTTACAGCTCAATTGAATTCACTTCGTAACTGTTGAACTTTGCAACACTGACATTATTGAATTAAATCAACATTGAACTAAATTTAACTGAATAACGACATATTTCTCATATTTGATGACGTTTGCATCATTGATTTAGCAGTTTATAACTATAAAGCTGCTTTAAAACAATCTGTGTTGTATAAAGCGCTATGGAAATTAAGCTTAAGTTGCCCGTACTGCCATAATAAATCATGTTCAGCGTCAAGTAATAAGCGACGTGTTTTCCAGGATTCAGGAGGACGAGATGTGCAACAACATACAGCAGAGACGGCAGATCTTCAGGTAATCGCTGCCGTTCATCATATTCTTATGACACTAGGGCTGTTGGAACGAATTCCGAAATTCGAATATAATTCGAATATTAAAAAAATCAATACTATTCGAATGCTGAAGTTACTATTCGAATATTGTTTTTTTTATGTATATTTAATTTTTTTATATATATATAAACAGGAAAGAGGCCGCACTATGCAGAAATTGTTTTATTTGCACAAACGCGTTTCAAGAAGGCACGCGCCGAAACGCGTTTGTGCAAATAAAACAATTTATGCATAGTGCGGCCTCTTTCCTGTTTAACGTTATATATTCTAATCATCAGGCCAGCATTCTTAAAGTTTAAAAATAATATTAATTAAAAATAAAATAATATTCTTAAAGTTTAAAAAAAATATTAATCTTGCCTTTCTCGTTTCTTGCCTTTAATCATTGAGTGAAGCCTGCTCCTATTCCCATTCATTAATTTTTTTTATATGGAATCTTGCCTTTCTCGCCACCTTGAAATGCTTTTGTTTCGTCTGATGAACAATAACGTTTTTGAATCGTAACACAATTGTGCACGTTATCTACGCTGTATCATCATAACAATACTGTCAAAAATGGTACATGTTTAACAACGTAAAAAAGCGCCCGTGAAGCGCAAATATCTTGGTGAAAACTCAACGGATTCGGCGAGCACCAAACTCGTTGGAACCGTCTAGTCGAACTGAAAAGAACGATATAAGTTTCAGAATTTTTGGTGGTGTTTTAGCGGAGATATTAGCCGAAAACCATCGGTAGCGCTTCAACCATATTCAGCACGAATAAAATGTTTATTGTAATGTTAGATGTCCCTCTAGTGGACAGAACGTGTAACAACAACCACATGCTATAGTGGCATTGGCGATCCATAAGCCTGAGTAATGTCGTAAATATTAATAATAGGATGAATTTGAGCATTTAATATTCTAATATTATTCGAATATTAAATAAAATAAGGAATGGAATTCGAATAGTATTATAGAGGAAGATTGACAGCCCTATATGACATGCAAGTGAATTGAAGCTGTTGGTTTTCTGTAAAGCTGTCTGATGTTCTCACGCAGGCTGAAAGACGATCGGTCGGCAAACAGCCGCCAAAGCAGCTCCGAGAACGAGGCCAGGTTTTCAGAGCCGCGTCCATGGAGCAGCACGGACTCGGACAGCTCGAACCGCAACCTGAAGCCTGCCATGACCAAAGCCAGCAGCTTCAATGGCATCCCGGTTCTGACCCGCGGCGACAGCTCCAGCAGCAGCAAGAGCGTGGGCCGGCTCTCAAAGACAGGTGAGTGACACCACAAGACAATTCACATGTATTTGTATCGCGCTTTTCACAATACACATCATTTCAAAGCAGCTTTACAGAAAATGCATGAGTCCATGTTACAATTTATCAGAGGAAACTGTCTAAGTTATGCGGGTAACACTTTACAATAAGCTTTTAAATCTTAGTAAATATGAACTAATAATTAACAATACTTCTACAGCATTCATTAATCTTAGTTAATATTAATTTCAACATTTACTAAAACATGATTAAAATCAGAGGTTGTATTTGTTAACATTAGTTAAAGGACTAAAATGAACAAACAACGAACAGCTGGATTTTTATTAACAAAGATTAATAAATACTGTTACAAATGTATTGCTCATTGTTAGTTTATACATTAATGTTAACGAATGAACCTTATTGTAAAGTGTTACCGTTATGCATTTCAGAAATGTACATATGCAAATCAAAGTTAGCTAAAAATGTATTAATTTAAACAAGGTAATTTAAGGCAGAAACAACAGAAGATTATTAGTTTTATTTGTTGATTCAGGCCTCGATAATAAGGACGGCCAGCGTGAAAGACGTTTTTTAATTCTTCCTAATTTAAAGGGTTAGTTCACCTAAAAATGAAAATTCGGTCATTAATTACTCGCCCTCATGTTGTTCCGAACCTGTAAGACTTTTGTTCATCTTCAGAACACAAATTAAGATATTTTCGATGAAATCTGAGAGATTTCTGACCCTCCATAGACAGCAACATCATTGCAACTTTCAAGGCCCAGAAAGGTAGTAAAGACATCGTTAAAATAGTCCATGTGACTACAGTGGTTCAAATGTTATGAAGCAACGAGAATACTGTTTTAATGCGCAAAAACAACGACTTTATTCAACAATTTCTTCTCTTCTGTGTCAGATCTCAGTAAACACACTGCAGCTTCTGCATCAGCATCACACGCATGTGTCGAGGTGCTCACATGACCAGCGTCGGCCAATAATGAGCCGGCATTCTGGCGTAGAACCCGGAAGCGCTGCAGTGTGTTTACTGAGATCTGACACAGAAGAGAAGAAATCGTTGAATAAAGTAATTATTTTAGGGTTTTTTTGCGCACAAAAAGTATTCTTGTCGCTTAATAACATTACATTTGAACCACATGGACTATTTTAACGATGTCTTTACCACCTTTCTGGGCCTTGAAAGTTGCAATGATGTTGCTGTCTATGGAGGGGTCAGAAAGCTCTCAGATTTCATCAAAAATATCTTAATTTGTGTTACCAAGATGAACAAAAGTCTTACAGGTTTGGAACAACATGAGGGCGAGTAATTAATGACAGAACTTATATTTTTGGTTGAACTTACCCTTTAAACATTTAAGCAGAAGAGGACGCTAAAGAGAACTCAATAAGCTTTATGCCGAGCGTCACGTGACCAAACCGGAAAACGGGTCTCATTGCATCCGCTTGTCAGAGAAAGTGTTAACGCCCGTAAGAACTAACTACGATATCTATGGATTTTAAGGTAATCAGCTAACCTACTAAGTTCACTTTGTTATTGGTGTTTTATGCTATTTAAATATCTAAACGTTAGTGTGAAGAAGAAAAATTAAAAAACTTATAAATATCAATCTGCACATGCGAGGGACATTGGTTATGCTCATTTTTGCTTGCTCCTTTTAAGTTATCTTGAGTAAAACCGCAAAAAAATCATGAAGCACATACAAAAGACCTGAATCTGATCTGTTTTCCGGCTTGGTCACGTGACGCTCGGCATAAAGCCTATTGGGTTGTGAAAGCACATTTGAAAGCTGTGTCTCAAACAGTGTGTGAATACTGGATTGAGTTCTCTCACGTCTCTCTGCACTTAAACTGACACTCGCCAAGATAGACATTTTGACAATTTTATGTGGATTTGTCGTTTATATCTTAAGTGAACATTAACAGTTGAGAAAGAAAACCCCTGTGTATCAGTATATTTGATCCATGCATTATGTCTTAAAGTGACAACAGCCTAATATTCCTGATACTTTCTCTGTCATTAATGTTAAACAACAGAAGACAACTCACTGCTCTTGACTGAATAATTTTCTTAGCTTTAATAAGGATTCATCTGTATTTAATTTATACTATGCAGTGTAATTTTGCATTTGATTGCTTTTATTGAAACTATACCTGAAAACTACGCTTAGACCTACCTGAAAAGTACTATTTATTTAATTTGTATTATTGTTCTATTTTATTTATTCGTGCCATTGCTTGTAATTTGGTTATTTGTTCTTATTTTATTACGGACTGTTTACTTGTCTTTAACGAGATTTGAGATTTATTTTAGCTAGAATAGTAGTTTTTGCTGTGGTATCGAAATGCGAAACTTATTTTATTTTATTAATAATTTTTTTTGTGGTGGTGCCAGTAAATATTTTAGCAGGGCAAGTAAAAATCTGAACCACTGGCCCGACCTTACAACAACAACAACAACAACAACAACAACAACAACAACAACCACCTTTATTTATAAAGCACATTTAACACAATACAAATTGATCCAAAGTGCTGTAGTGCATAGCAGGACTACACTATAAAAAACAACAATTACAAGTTTCCAGAAGCTAAAGATTGTGTTTTAAGAGTAGATTTGAAGGAGCAGACGTCACATGATAAGGAAGACCATTCCCAAGACCTTAGCATTGAGCCCTGAGACTGTTGACTCGCTCTTCCTCTGATGACTTCATGCTCTTTTCTTCTCAGTCTTTATTCCTGCTTTTAACAGCATGCTTTATTAACTCATCTGTATCTCACTGCATGCTTTGAAATTCACTTTTATTAACAATCCTCTGAATTCATTGGTGATCGTTAATACTTTCCCCCTTAAAGTTCGGGATCAGGTCGTTTAAAAAAAAAAAAAAAAATTTATTGACACTTAAGACCTTAGTTATTAGACCATTATAGCAATACCTTTGTTACAGTATTTATTCATCTTTGTTAATGTCAGCTAATTGTTAGTTCATGTCAGCTCAGGTCCATGAAATAATATGAACTAATAATGTATTAGTAAATGTTGATATTAAATAAGATTCACAATTATTTTGCACTCTTAGGTCATTTTAACTAATGATAACACTTTTTTTATTTTTATTAAATTGACCAAAAGTGTCAGTAAAGACAGTTATGATGTTACAAAAGATTCTATTTCACATAAATGCTGTTCTTTCTTTCTATTCATGAAAGAATCCTGAAAAAAGAATCATGATTTCCACAAAAATCTGAACTGTTTTCAACATTGATAATAATCATAAATGTTTCTTGAGCAGAAAATCCTCATATTAGAGTGATTTCTGAAGGATCATGTGACACTGAAGACTGGAGTAATGATGCTGAAAATTCAGCTTTGATCACTGGAATAAATTACACTTTACTAGATATTCACATAGAAAACAGTTATTTTAAATTATAAAAATATTTTAAAAATTGTATTGCATTTTTGATCGCATAAATTCAGCCTTGATGAGCAGAAAAGACTTCTCCCAGATACGTAACCAAACTGTTGAACGGTAGCTCTCGAGTAAATTACCGTCCTCCGCCTGTACGACATTTGAGACATGAACACGTTTAGTGCTTTTCATTTCAAATAGGAAAAAAAAACATCCCATATTTGAGAGAAGAGACAAGAAACAAGTAAATTGCTAAATGAGCCGAGACATTAATCAGAAATTAATTAATATGTCATTCTCAGGCTAATACAATTATTCTCTTCTTCCATTGCTTCGGTCCCTGAGGTAATTAGAAATGAAATTGAATTGAGCATCTTGTTGAAATTCGTCTGACCTTGCTTTCTATACTTCCATATTCTGCAGTGTTTTAATAGCTACAGCGCTTCCTTTGCCAATATGTTCCACGATCCCCAGTGAATTCACGAGCGATCGCTCTCACCGCTGCTGTGTTAAAGGGATAGTTCACTCAAAAATGAAAATTAGCCCATGATTTACTCACCCTCAAGCCATCCTAGGTGTATATGACATTGTTCTTTCAGACAAATACAATCAGTTATATTAAAAAAAAATTGAAATTTAGATAAATGCACTTCTATGATGGATAGATGCACTTCTCTGATGGATAGATGCACTTTTATGATGGATAGATGCACTTTTATCATGGATATGCACTTTTATGATGGATAGATGCACTTTTATGATGGATAGATGCACTTTTATGATGGATAGATGCACTTTTATCATGGATATGCACTTTTATGATGGATAGATGCGCTTTTATCATGGATATGCACTTTTATGATGGATAGATGCACTTTTATGATGATAGATGTACTTTTATGATGGATAGATGGTCTTTTATTATGGATAGATGCACTTTTATGATGGATAGATGCACTTTTATGATGGATAGATGCACTTTTATGAAGATAGATGTACTTTTATGATGGATAAATGCTCTTTTATTATGGATAGATGCACTTTTATCATGGATAGATGCACTTTTATGATTATAGATGTACTTTTATGATGGATAGATGCACTTTTATCATGGATATGCACTTTTATGATGGATAGATGCACTTTTATGATGGATAGATGCACTTTTATCATGGATATGCACTTTTATGATGGATAGATGCGCTTTTATCATGGATATGCACTTTTATGATGGATAGATGCACTTTTATGATGATAGATGTACTTTTATTATGGATAGATGCACTTTTATGATGGATAGATGCACTTTTATGATGGATAGATGCACTTTTATCATGGATAGATGCACTTCTATGATGGATAGATGCACTTGTATGATGGATAGATGCACTTGTATGATGGATAGATGCACTTGTATGATGGATAGATGCACTTGTATGATGGATAGATGCACTTGTATGATGGATAGATGCACTTTTATGATGATAGATGTACTTTTATGATGGATAGATGGTCTTTTATTATGGATAGATGCACTTTTATGATGGATAGATGCACTTTTATGATGGATAGATGCACTTGTATGATGGATAGATGCACTTGTATGATGGATAGATGCACTTGAATGATGGATAGATGCACTTGTATGATGGATAGATGCACTTGTATGATGGATAGATGCACTTGTATGATGGATAGATGCACTTGTATGATGGATAGATGCACTTGTATGATGGATAGATGCACTTTTATAATGGATAGATGCACTTTTATGATGGATGGATGCACTTTTATGATGGATAGATGCACTTTTATGATGGATAGATGCACTTTTATGAAGATAGATGTACTTTTATGATGGATAAATGCTCTTTTATTATGGATAGATGCACTTTTATCATGGATAGATGCACTTTTATGATTATAGATGTACTTTTATGATTATAGATGCACTTTTATGATGGATAGATGCACTTTTATCATGGATAGATGCACTTTTATGATGGATAGATACACTGGTATGATGGATAGATGCACTTGTATGATGGATAGATGCACTTTTATCATGGATAGATGCACTTTTATCATGGATAGATGCACTTTTATGATGGATAGATGCACTTTTATCATGGATAGATGCACTTTTATGATGGATAGATGCACTTTTATCATGGATAGATGCACTTTTATGATGGATAGATGCACTTTTATGATGGATAGATGCACTTTTATGATGGATAGATGCACTTCTATGATGGATAGATGCACTTTTATGAGGGATAGATGCACTTTTATGATGGATAGATGCACTTCTATGATGGATAGATGCACTTTTATGGACTTAAAAACAGAAACGGCCATTCACTGCCATTTATAAAGCTTGGAAGAGCCAGGACATTTTTTAATATAACTCCGATTGTATTCGTCAGAATGAAGAATGTCATATACACCTAGGATGACTTGAGGGCGAGTAAATCATTGGCTAATTTTCATTTTTGAGTGAACTATCCCTTTAAGGCTCCTGTCGTTGCTCCCTCTCTAGGTTCTGACTCTTGTAGTAGCGTAGGTTCGTCCACGGGTTCGCTCTCTCGATCCCAGCCTCCCTCTGCCGTGGCTTTAACGCAGGCGATGGGCTATCCTCCTGTCAGCGCTAGTAGCGCCGTTTGCTATGAGCCGCCAGCGTCTACGGCTAATGCTAGCTACTATTTGCTTCCCCTGGAAGCCGCAGGGATACCGGCCGGAAGTATCTTGGTCAACCCACATACAGGTTGGTAAACGCTGTGCGACTGATTTCTCTCCATATGCATGTCTGTATATCCTCCACTAACCCTGATCGTAACTGTGTGTCTCAGTCGCTTCATAAACATTTATGCTGAATTGATGATGGGATTTTACGGTTCATTACTGTTTGGGCTCGTAATGAGGATTTTATTTTCTTCTGAAAGGTCAAAGTTATTAATAGATGCTCTGTAAATCGTACAACCCTCTGAAATCTTCTGGAAATTCAGATTTTCTGGACTCTTGTTTTAATGGTTAAAGTACATTTTAGTAATCAAAAACCACGTCTAATTAATTTAAATCATGGAACTTATGAAATTTAATAATAAAATTTAGGGCCCTAAAAAATATCTTTGATTTAGTCTCAAAATCCTATTTGTCCTTCCCAAATTCCATGCTTTCCTTTTGTAATTTTTCTGGATTTCATTTTAATGGTTTAATTGAAATTTTAATAATCAAAAATAATGTCTAATCAATTTAATTCATTTTTTTTAATACAATTAGTTTTTCTTTTGTTTTAAAAAAATCAGAAATTGTGTGATTGGATCTTTTCTGGATGTATTATTTTATACAACATTATTAGTTTTATTTTTATTTTATGGATTTATTTTAATTGTTTTATTAAAATTGAATAATCATTTCTAGTCAATTTAATTTAATTCATAATTTAATTATAACTTTAACAACCCAATTCATAGATTATTATTATTATTTTTCTGGATTTCCTTTTAATGGTTTAATTAAAATAATCAATTTAATTAATTTTTTTTATACAATAGTTGGGCTGATTTTTTTCTTTTGTTTTCAAAAATTCAGAAATTGTGTGATTGGATTTTTTTCTGGACTTTTAATTTATACAAAAATTATTAAATCATAAAACCATAAATTTTTTTTAAAAGTTACATTAAGGCCCTATGAAATATGTTATTTTTTTATATTTTAAAAATTTCTGGATTTTTTATTTTAATTGTTTAATTAAAATTGAATAATCAAAAAAGCATTTCTAGTCAATTTCATTTCATTCATAATTTAATTAATACAACTTTAACAACCTAATTCATAGATTATTATTATTATTATTTTTTTACAATAATAGGAATCTATGATTTGTATTTATTTGTTTTCACAATTTATTCTCTGGGTTTATGATTTAAAACAAAATGATTAAATCATAAAACATGATAATAATAGGGCCCTAAAATCTCCTCTTCATAGTGATCATAAATGAAACGTGTTATAAAGGTCACTTTCAAACCTCAGACTTCAGTCAGCCAAGACATCCACAGTGTCCTGCTGGGAAACTCCTAATGAAGCCGTTTGTGATGTGTCCGGGGCCAGACGGACGTGTAAAATATTGTTTCATTAGAGACCTTAAAATATGCATGCGGGCGCTAGGTCACGTTATATGGCCAGCGCTAATGCGTTTACACCAGGCTGCACCGGTGTGTAATTGCTTATTGACCTCTTTCCGGAGTTTGCAAATGTGAAATTCGAGGCCTCTGGGATGTGGGATCGTGTTGTGGGGCTCGATGCCTCCGTATGTGCTGCATTTGTCATCATTTACAGGTTTATATTCAGAATTTAGCTCATTTGCACTGTTATTATGTAATCTAGTGCGGTTCATCTTTCTCAGTGTGAACAAATGAGCCAATTCTGGACATTAGCATTAAGTCAAGTCAATTTATTTCTAAAAGTTTCAAAGCAACTTCACTGAAAATCAATGTTTATTAATATCTTCATGCTTATAGTTGCATTCTGCAGATTAGAGCTGGGCGATAATATACTTACATTTTACTACAATATTGCTATATAGTATTAGGGCTGGTTATATTGACACATTTTGTCCGCTCTGTCCACTTTTCTGTCCATTTATGTTCTGATGAATCCTGTTAAACTGGAAATGTTACCGAAATGCTGCTGATGTTCAGTGCTGTAAATCTACAATCCTCTTGACTGATCGCAGGTCAGCCTTTCCTGAACCCTGAAAGCAGTGCTGTAGTCTACAACCCCAGTATGACCTCACAGGCCTCCAGGTGTCAATCATCTGTAGCTCCGCCTCCAGCCGCTCACCAGCAGCACCAGCCCACCAATCATGTCATGTCACAGGTGAGTTTAGTAGTGTTTATTAGTGTTTTGATTGGTGTTCAGAGGCAGTCTTTAGGTTAGATGTGCTGGATTATGGGACGTATTTGCTCTGATGAATCAATAATTTTATGGATTTTTTTAAGGGCATATACATTTTCTAGGAGCCACATTAATGTTCTTAGGTTTGGGAAATGAATCTATGTTTATCAGTGTCATTGATTGACTTTATAAACCATCTGCACTCGAGGAGTTTATCCAAACTAACACTGAATGAGCGAGTTCTCTCTTTATTCCGTGACTTTTTTCATCCTGTACATCTGGGACTAAATCCATTTTCTTCCTGTGTGTGTGTGTGTGTGTGTGTGTGTGTGTGTTTCCTCTTCCTGTTCTGTGTCTTCAGCCTCTCTGGTCTGTCCAGCCGTCCACGGTGTCTTACCCACCGATCCTTACAGTGTCTCCTAACCAGCAGTTCACTGTGGTACATATACTCTCTCTCTCTCTCTCTCTCTCTCTCTCTCTCTCTCTCTCTCTCTCTCTCTCTCTCTCTCTCTCTCTCTCTCTCTCTCTCTCTCTCTCTCTCTCTCTCTCTCTCTCTCTCTCTCTCTCTCTCTCTCTCTTCCTCTCGCTCTCCTCTTCTCTTTCTCTCTCTCCCTCCCTCCCTCTCTTCTCTTCCCTCTCTTCTCTTCCTCTCGCTCTCCTCTTCTCTTGCTCTCTCTCTCTTTCTCTCTCTCCGCTTTCTCTCTCTCTCTCCCTCCCTCCCTCTCTTCTCTTCCCTCTCTTCTCTTCCTCTCTCTCTTCTCTTCCTTCTCTTCTCTCTCTCTCCTCTTTTCTTCTCTCTCTCTCTCTCTGTCTCTCTCTCTCCCTCCCTCCCTCCCTTCCTCCCTCTCTTCCTCTCTCTTCTCTTCTCCTCTCTCTCCTCTTCTCTTCTCCTCTCTCTCCTCTTCTCTTCCTCTCGCTCTCCTCTTCCTCTCTCTCCTCTTCTTTTCCTCTCTCTCTCTTTCTCTCTCTCTCTTTCTCTCTCTCCTCTTTCCCTCTCTCCCTCCCTCCTCTTCCTTCTCTTCTCTTCCCTCTCTCCCCTTCTCTTCCCTCTCTCTCTCTCTCTTCTCTCTCTCTCTCTTCTCTTCCCTCTCTCCTCTTCTCTTCTCTTCCCTCTCTCTCTCTCTCTCTCTCTCTCTCTCTCTCTCTCTCTCTCTCTCTCTCTCTCTCTCTCTCTCTCTGCATTTCTCAACTCCATCATCATACGCTTTTCACATCAATAGCACATAACAAAGCTGCAGGGTTCAGTATTTTAAGAAACGTTTTCAAACCCATCATGGCTCCCTCGGACACGCATCATGACCTCTTTTTCTTGACCTCCCTCAGCCAGTAAACATCCCTTAATGACCAATTAAAAGAGTGATAGATGCTTTGAATAATTAACGGAGGAGCAGATGCTGGAATTAATATTCTATGAATAGAAAAGCGTCTAGTCTCTTACCATTTCTAATGGGGCACAAAAAGCAAATTCATAAAGCCTAATAGTTACAGTAAGAGCAGGAACATTGGCCATCTAGCTAGCAACAGTTGAACTAACTAGCATACTTGTTTCAAGCGGCTTCACAGTAATAAACAGGAAAATAGCAACAAATGACAATGTTTACATGCAGCCTCATAATGCGATTATAAAGAGATTTAGACAATATCGCAATTCATGTTAACACAATACTTTGATCAAATTGATGCAATTAAGCTCATAATCATAGTGAAATGATTTTAATCGGGCATGTAAAGTGTCATGATTCAGTTCTAAAAACAAACAGCAAATACTTTATGAAGCAAAATCTTCTGTCAGCAGGATAATCTGAGCGCCCAGTTCAGTCACATGATGATGGTCCGGCAGGCCTCGGGAGACACCCGTGACGCTCACGCAGTGGTTTACCCGTCGCCCGTGTCTCTCCAGACGCCTGCGCATCATCAGGCCGGATACATGATGCCCTCGCCAGGACAGAACGTGCCCTCGTTCCCTTCATCGCACGCGACCACCGTCAACCAGCAGCAGAGCTTCATCCAGCAGCAGGTGCGGACACACTCAGAGCTGAACGCTGCGTCAACACGTGTGTTCTGTCCCTATACAAACACTTGCGCTGTTTGCATTTGACCTCTAGTCTTACATGGCATATTTGCCACAAAAATGCAAGTTTGTACAGAGCTCTTTCGTCATGTTTAGAGTTTTTTGCATTGCACTTTAAAATAAACGCCTAAATGTCTGTTCAGTAGTTCCTATGTAATTGTGATGCTTCTAATTAAGTGAAAAAAAGCATTTGCAAATGCTCACCTCTGCACCAATACAATGTGCAACACTTTTTGTTTGACTTCCCAGTTTATATGTTGTAATTTCAAATGATACATTTTTTAATTGCGAGTTTAGGCAGACTTTTTTTCTTCCAATTGATAGTTCAAATCTCATAATTGCAAATTATAAACATTTTTACATCTCACAATTCAGATTTATTTCCTCGGAATTGTGAGTTATAAACTCAACGTCTCACAATTTGAGTTTATACCTCGCAATTCTGACTTTTTGTCTCAGAATTGTGTGATTTATAAACTCAAGGAAAAACTTGAGATAAAAAGTCACAATTAGCTTTTTGTTTTTATTCCATGGTGGAGACAAACTTCTATAAATATCTAATTAATTTAACTTACTTACTTTTCCTCTCCATTGCACATTTTTTTTGTTCTTGACCATGATTCCAGCATGTACAGGTATGTCACTGAAGTTCACGTCATGTCATTCTTGTCACAGATGGCACCGTGTTACTGTTCACCCAGTCAGTACACAGTGTCTGGACAGCCATACCGACCTGTGGGCTCGATGCCATACAGCAGCCCTCAGAGTCAGATGCCCACAGCACCCATGCAGCCGGCAGGTAACTACACGCATACACACACATGCACTCGTATACACACACATGCACTCCCATACACACACATGCACTCGTATACACACACATGCACACGCATAAACACACATGCACTCATATACACACATACACACACATGCACTCACATGCACACGCATAAACACACACGCACTCATATACACTCATACACACGCATACACACACATGCACTTGCATGCAAACGCATACACTTACATGTACACGCATACACATGCATGCACTCACATTCACACGCATGTACACGCATACACTCACATGCACACTCACGCAGACACATGCACACTCATGCAGACACATGCACACTCATGCACACACATGCACACTCATGCACACGCATACACTCACATGCACACTCATCCACACACATGCACACGCATAAACACACATGCACTCATATACACACATACACACACATGCACTCACATGCACACGCATAAACACACACGCACTCATATACACTCATACACACGCATACACACACATGCACTCGTATACACACACATGCACTCGCATACACACACATGCACTCGTATACACACACATGCACACGCATAAACACACATGCACTCATATACACACATACACACACATGCACTCACATGCACACGCATAAACACACACGCACTCATATACACTCATACACACGCATACACACACATGCACTTGCATGCACACACATGCACTCGCATGCAAACGCATACACTTACATGTACACGCATACACATGCATGCACTCACATTCACACGCATGTACACGCATACACTCACATGCACACTCATGCAGACACATGCACACTCATGCAGACACATGCACACTCATGCACACACATGCACACTCATGCACACGCATACACTCACATGCACACTCATCCACACACATGCACACGCATAAACACACATGCACTCATATACACATGCAGACTCATGCACACACATGCACACGCATACACTCACATGCACACTCATCCACACTCATGCAGACGCATAAACTCACATGCACACTCATGCACACGCATAAACTCACAAGCACACTCATGCACACGCATAAACTCACAAGCACACTCATGCACACACATAAACTCACAAGCACACTCATGCACACGCATAAACTCACAAGCACACTCATGCACACACATAAACTCACAAGCACACTCATGCACACGCATAAACTCACAAGCACACTCATGCACACGCATAAACTCACAAGCACACTCATGCACACGCATAAACTCACATGCACACTCATGCACACGCATAAACTCTCATGCACACGCATAAACTCACATGCACACGCATAAACTCACATGCACACGCATAAACTCACATGCACGCGCATAAACTCACATGCACGCGCATAAACTCACATGCACACGTATACACACACATACACGCACGCAGACACATGCACTCACATGCACACACACGTGTACAAGAGCTTTAGCAGCCAACACACTATATTTTACAGTCCTATTATTAAATAAAGTATTTCCTCCAGCAAAACTCTACCTGCAAAACTGCAAGGGCTGTCCTTCAGGTGTTCACTACTCGATTAAAAAATAAATAAAAGGATCACACTAAGCATTCCAACTAGCATTAAGGTGCAATATCGTCACCTTCTATTATTTTGGAGTGTTAACCATTATTTGCAAAGTTATCATATGTAGTATTTCATGGTTGTTGTCAATGCTGGTACAATACGATACTCCTAAAAGCAACTTAAATACCGTGTGCAAGAATACCTGGTACAAAAGCTGTTTAAATGCAAAGAGTAATCAAACCAGATATTGATTTGACTTGGTTAAAAGAAGTTTATTGATAAACTCTATTCATTATAAGTGCCAGTGGTGTAGATGCATGAAGCACAGCTCACACAGAAGTCACTTTCAAACCAAGAAGATTTTCGTTGGAGAACTCACGTGACGAACTTGAACATGAGCGAAATCATGTGAAACTCCTGATCCATGTATACTGGATCGCAGATTAACTCAATGGTGGTGAAATTTTATCTCTTTGTGGATCTCAGTCCTTTTTCTGGTTCATTCAAAAATCTCACTGGATTATAACAAGATTTGCAAAAGGAATATTTGGAAATCTAGAAACGATATCTCCTACTGGCTCACGAAAGGCTCTGATATACTCCGGGCAAAATCGAAAAACAAACTGGTGTTATGTCAATAAAAAAACCCAGCAAAACGACATTCGTTTTCAGGAGTCCGAAACAGCTTTTCCAGAGAAGTTGCTGTCATTTTTGTTGTTTATTTTGTTATTGAGAGGAAAGCACATATTCATGTAAACGTCGCTCTCATCAGCGTGGACGGCGTCAGGATGTTCGTTAACAGTATATCGTTGAAAAGGTATTTTACGTGTATTCTACGTGAAGAACAGAAAAAGAACTTATGTTGGGCCTTAAAGCAAAAGTCAGACAAGCATCTTAAAACAATTGTTTCCGTCAAGCATATAATCTGGCTTTAGCTTTAGTTTACAGTTATCAGCACAATAACACTCGCTCTCATCTGCCACTGCATCAGTTCACAGGAGTGTTTACCTCATGTTGATTTTAGTTTGTGTTAATTACTGGGCATCTCGATGCGCTCGTTCTTTATACACACTCTCTGTGTACATTGGTGTTTGTGTGTTGCACACACAACGATTGTCGCAGGGCGCTCGTGGCATTTGGCCCTTTGTACAGTTTGATTTTGCTGTATTGTTCAGCGTGCGGGTGACAAATGTTTTACTGGATTGAATTGGAGAGCTGAAACAAAACATCCCTCGTGCTTTGAATATCTGAAACCGGATCCGGTGAGGACCGTGAGAGGGCCGTCGGAGCTGTTGTGGCGGTGCGTTCTGGAGGTTTGCTGTGTTTGGGTCATCGGCGAGCTCTGTCGGAGCGGCTGAATGCGGGGCCGAGGCACTGTCTGAGACGCCCTACGATTCTCACAGTGAACCGGTCTCTTTTCCAGCCCCTCACTCCTCCTCGAACATCGGATCAAGCTGCGTTTGAGTCGTCTTTAATCTTCCATCTGCGAGGTCACGTGATCCGTTTGACTGTCACAGCATTAGTCTGTGTTGTTTGCATTAAATGTTGAACATGTTTCACTTTTTTGGGTCAGTTGCTAGCAGTTTGCGGTCATTTATTGTAAGTTAATGGTCTACACTACCAGTCAAAGATTTTAACAAGTAATTTTTTTTAAGAAGAAGTCTCTTCTGCTCATCAAGTCTGCATTTATTTGATCAGAAATACTGTAAAAATTGTGAAATATTTCAATTAACTGTTGTGTATGTGAATATACAGTAAAGTGTAATTTATTCCTGTGATCAAAGCTGAGTTTTCAGCATCATTACTCCAGTCTTCAGTGTCACATGATCCTTCAGAAATCACTCTAATGTGAGGATTATTATCATCAATGTTGAAAACAGTTGATTCTGAAAGTTCAAAAGAACAGCGTTTATTGTGAAATAAACATTTTAAATGTCTTAACTGTCACTTTTGATCAATTTAATCCATCGTTGCTGAATAAAAGTATTAATTCTCTTTTTTTTTTTTTACTTTTGAATGGTCGCGTATCACGGTTTCCACAAAAATATGAAGCAGCATAAGTGTTTCTTAAGCAGCGAATCAGCATATTAGAATGATTTCTTAAGGATCATGCGGCACACTTATAGTTGTTGTTTTTCTTTTCTTCAGGAAATTCAATGATAAACTGTTTTAGTGGTCATATCGTAATGTCTGTGTTTGTATAATATGGCTGCTTCATCTTGATTTTTCTGCATGTGTTTCTGCAAATTAATGAATCAGTGTAAAAACAGCTTCATGAAACCAAAGTCTCAAAACAGATTTTTCTGATTCTGATTGGATGAGACGCACATCTGATGAATCCTGAATCCTGTCGGGTTTAAAGCTCATCTCTAATGAAAACACAGATCTGTGAATAATGTGTAATTTCTAATTGAATGTTTCATTTGCATCAGAAAGAAAAGTGAGAAATATGGTCTGAATCCTGTGTGATGTAAATGATAATCAAACCCTTCAGATGTTCTGCCGCGTGAAGCACATTTGCTCCTCTTCTGTACCTGCTTGCTCAGCCAGAACCCAGTGTTTAATATTATATTCCCATCATGCTCTGCTTCTAAGTGGAGGTGAGAGAATAGAGCTAAAAATAGCGCACGTTCACCACCTCCTCGCCGCGGGCCGTCCGTTTCTTTTGTCCCACTTCTGGGCTAAATTGATTGCCGTCCCTTTGGCCAAAAGCCAGGAGAAATTGAAAACGCCCTCCTTCCGCAGGGAGAGTGTGTTTGATAGTGTCACGGAGTTACACGCTACCCCCAATAACCTTGACACCAATGCAAATTATCCTGCCTCGTAATGGGCCGTTTCTGCTCGCCGTACGCCGCCGCTCGTGTAAATTACCGTCTTACATGTAGAAGCTTTTAAAGGCGTGACATTGGCATCCATTATGTAAGCTATTGTCTTTTGGGGGAGCGTGTGCGCTTCGATAATGAGAGGCAATTTAATGCTGCTGGTTTGTGAGATCATTAGTGATTTAAAGCGTTTAGATAGTAAGCTAGCTCTGCTCTAATTGGCAAGCTTTATGACGACTTGAATCGACCAGCTTTGATGATCCTCAATATTTAAGAACAAAGTAAAGAAACCTGGGTGTCGTTTTACATTGTGATCTGAGTTTTAAATCTCATATAAATTAAGTGAAGTATTGCCAGGATTTGTCCTTTTAGCTTTGGATGATGCTAAGAAATTAATGCATTTATCTTTTCTCGTCTCATCTAAACCGCAATGATACAAAATGCAGAAGCCAGAGTGCTAATTAAAAAAGAAGTTATAGAGACCATTTGGGAAGCAGAAGTCGCACGTTCATTTGGTGACAGAAATAAATAAAGTGGAGGAAAGCGGGCGAGATCCACAAAATAAGAGGAATATTTTAATTTTTTCTTGTACCTTTATATGTCAGAATCAGAATGCAAACAATAGATGCCCTTCGTTTTTACAGAATACCGTCATCAAAGATGTCCTTTAAAGTGAAACACAGGCATTAAACTGACAGACTGCGACGTTTACCCTCGTTTTAAAGTATGAATTTGATGTAAACAATAAATAGATCCACATATAATATTCACATATGCAGTTCATAGGGAGCATAATATATAAACCCTATAGTTACAGAATAAAATAGCATTTAAGCCTAGAACATTTTTATCTCACAATAGTGACTTTTTTTCTCTTAATAGCAAATTTATATCTCTCAATTTGGACTATTAATGTTGGAATTACGAGTTTATATCACAATTCTGAGAAAAAAGTGGGATATAGACTCGCAATTCTGAGAAAAAAAGTGGGATATAGACTCGCAATTCTGAGGAAAAAAGGCCGAATATCGAGTTTAAAAATCTCGCAATTGTGATTTTACTTTCCTAGATTTGTGAGATATGAACTTTAAAATGACCTTTATTCTTTTATTCTGTGGCTTCCATTGATGGTCTAAGACCCAAATGGTCTATTACAGCGATTTTAATGGATCTACACCGACTGCCAGTTCAACAAAGGACTGATCTTAGTTTATAAAGTACTTGGCGCCTTCATTTTTTCCTGGTTGTTGGTTAAAATTTGACACACTATACAGTCAATGCAGTGGTGATGCTTTTAGTCACTATGCCTCAAAAAGCTTTTGAATATATTCATATCAACATTATAGACATTGTGTGAAATCTATAGAAGCTTGTTTCTGCCACAGAATGAAAAAAAAAGACTTTTTATCTCACAATTTAGACTTAATCTCAGAATTGCGTGATATAAAGTCAGAATTCTGTGAGATATAAACTCACAATTACAAGAAATAAACTCGAAATTCAGACTTTTTTTACTGAATTGCATGTTTATATCTCACAATTCTGACTTAATAACATGCAGTTGGGAGATATAAAGTCAGAATTGCGAGTTTTTCACTCAATTCTGACTTTTTCTCTCATAATTGCGATATATAAAGTCAGAATTGTGCAATTCTGACTTTATATCTAGCAATTACAAGCTTCCAATGAAATCGCATTGTTTTACGTTTTTATTTTGTGGTTGTGTTTTACCTTGCGAAGAACATCGAGATGCATTTTATGTATGAAAAGTGCTATACACATAAATAAATCATTTGAAAAAACAGATTGTTTATTGTTCATTTGAAGGGATGATTTAGTTTTGTAAGTGGACAGTAAATGGTTAATTCTGCCGCTTTCACTACACGTATCTGCTATTGAAGCGCTTGCATTGTCCTGTCGTTTCTGTACGTTCCTTCAGGTTACCAAACTGTGATGCCAAATCAGCAGCAGAACTATCAGAACGCCATCCAGCCGCTGCAGAATCAGACGCTGGTCAGCAGCCAACACAGCAATATGGGAAGTCAGATGCCAGGCATGATGGTCCAGTATATGTCAGTGCCATCTTATCAGGTGAGGAACATGTAATGGGCTCTCTCAGTCTTTACAGATGCCTGACATCTTTCCTCATTATCATTGTTGGGGAAAGTAATGCATTGTAATATTGCGTTTCTCCCAAAAAGAGTAACTGCTTTTTATTAAAAGTAATGCGTTACATTTCATTTGCGGTACTTTTTCTCGCCTGGACTTGTTTATTTTTTAATAACATCCAAAAAAATTATATTTTTGGCAAATGTTAAGGCCCTTTCACACCAAAAGTGAAACGAATAAGCCTCGGACTGAAGGAAATGCACATTTACGGCTGTACAGTAGAGAAGCAGATCATACAAACCTTTCAGCTGTGCTTTTTTAAATTGCATTTTGCTGTTTTTATTAATTTTGAGGAATGCTGTTGTCAGTGAGATGAGTAAATGCATGTTCACATTTAGTCTAGAACTGAGATAACCAAAGCTGCACCTGTCTGATATAGATATAAAGGCATTTCGCTTGACTATGAGCGTGATATTGCTCATATAAATATCCAAATATAAGCTTTAGCCAGATACAGCTTTCATTCTTCCGGTCCATCATATATTCATGAAGAAAAAAAAATCAGTTTGAATAAGGAAAGCGATAACTTTGCCATAGTATCCTTTCAATGGTTAAAGTTGTCACACACACACACACACAACACCTTCTCACTTTATTCCTCTCAACATGGGGACAGGAGAGCTGTCAGTCAATAAATGTGTAAAAGTAACTAGCGTTACTTATTTGAAAAAGTAACTTCGATATTTAGTTGTAAATTTAAAAAGTGATGTTACTTTACTAGTTACTGGAAAAAGTAATCTGATTACGTAACTCGAGTTACTTGTAATGAGTTCCCCCAACACTCATTATAACACATTAGTGATTATAGATGCGTCTCAGTTTAATTTCTGTTGATGAGAACGTACAGACGTCTTTTTTTTTCATTCTTCATTTTGCAATTCACAGTTTTAGTGCAATATTTAAAACAGATTTTTTGTATTACATGTTTAATATTTGTGTTGTATGTAACATGGTTTGTGTTGTTGTATAATCCGGCGCTAAGGGAAGCACTTCCTAATTTCGTTATACATGTTTATAATGGCAATAAAGGTGATCTAATCTTGTGTGGCAGGTGTCCTCGGCTGTGCCCCAGCAGGCGTATCATCAGCCCGTCGTCAGTCATGCACCCGCACCGCCGTCCAGCTTTCAGGTCTACTACAGCATCGGACCTCATAACCAACAGAACGCCGTCAGGTACGGACGTCTTATGCCAGATCAGTTACACCAAAAATGAACACAGATTTGCAAATGAACACAGCAGTTTATTTGTTTTGCAGAAGCATTATGATTCATTCAGATCTTCTAGTAAATGCATATTTCAGGGTTCGTACAAGGTGCTTGAATTTGACATTTTGAGTATTTAAGTCCTGGAAAACTTGTGAAAATGGATTTATTGTACCTGAAAAGTGTTTGAATTATTGAAAGACTATATATTTTTTTTTGATTAAACAATATTTTCATGCAAAATTAAAGCTGCAGCCTGTCTAATATAGATATAAAGACATTTTGCTTGGCTATGAGCGTGATATTGCTCATATAAACATACAAATATAAGATACTTTTCATTCTTCCGGTCCATCATATATATTAATGAAGAAAAAAATCAGTTTGAATAAGGACAGCGATAACTTTGCCATAGTATCCTTTCAATGGTTACCACAGTCCTTTGTATATTTTCATATTTATTAATTACAATATAAGCACATGGTACTATGATGATCCGCCTGTGTAAAACAGAAAACAGACAAAATAATAGTCAAGTCACCTTTATTTATATAGCGCTTTTTACAATACAGATTGTTTCAAAGCAGCTTTACAGACATAACCTAAAAATAATGCAACACAGTTTGTTTTTAGAAGAAAATAGCGTAATAGTCCAGCTTAAGTTAGTTCAGTATAATTATTAATGAACAGAGATGAAACCAGCCATGAAAAGGCGTTCAGTGTGGTGTAAAATGGCTGTAGCTGTATGGGTTTTGTGCAGAGCTGTGAGGAAGAGGTCGCTCGCTCGCTTCGGTCGTCTCCTGGGACCTTGACTTTAGTAGGCCACGTTCAAGATGATTTATAAGTCCAGATATGCAGCTGGTCTTAATATAACGCTGGGTCCCATGAGGAGAGCGATCTCGCGCTGCACATCCTTCATATGAAGCGGTTCACAGATGGTGAACGACGACTCACAGCTGCGTCACACGCCTCATGTCCTTATTAAACCGCCAGAGACGACCCAGCTCTGTGAATACTGATGATCTGCTCATTGAGCGCTGTTGATCTGGCACTCGTCACGTTTACCAGGTGTCGTACTGATCAGAGCTGAATACACACTACCAGCCAAAAGTTGGGGATCGGTAAGATTTTTAATGTTTTAAAAGAAGTCTCTACTACTCACCAAGGCTGCATTTATTTGATTAAATATACACACCAAAAAACGGTATTGTGAAATATTATTACAATTTAAAATAACTGTTTTCTATGTGAATATATATATATATATATAACATCATAATTTATCATATTCACAATATATATGAATCTTTTGTAACATTATGAATGTCTTTACTGTAACTTTTGAACAATTTAATGCATCCTTGATGAATAAAAGTATTGATTTATTTTATTTCTTTCCCCCCCAAAAATTATAAAAATTCTTACTGACCCCAAACTTTTGAACGGTAGTGTTTAATGTTACAAAAGCTTTCTATTTCATATAAATGCTGTTCTTTTGAACTCTCTATTCATCAAAGAATCCTGAAATATAAATATAAATAACTGTTTTCAACATTGATAATAATCATAAATGTTTCTTGAGCATCAGATCCTCATATTAGAGTGATTTCTGAAGGATCATGTGACACTGAAGACTGGAGTAATGATGCTGAAAATACAGCTTTGATCACTGGAATAAATTACACTTTAAAATATATTAAAATAGAAAACAGTTATTTTAAATTATCATATTTAACAATATTACTGTTTTTTGTTTTGTTTTGTTTTTATCAAATAAATGCAGCCTTGGTGAACAAAGAGACTTCTTTTAAAAACATAAAATCCTACCGATCCCAAACTTTTGACTGGGAGTGTATGTGATGTGGTTTTGGCATCGTAAGCGAATGTTGGCATGTGTGTGTCTCCGCAGCTCCTCCATGGGGTTCTTGCCTCCTCCAGGATCAGAACAGATGCCGTACCACCGCACCTCGCCTCCCTGCGGCTCGCAACAGATTCCCACCCAGCAGTGCTCAGGTACGAACCCGCAGTGACCCAGAAGGCCGTTCGTCCTCGTCCTCTTTGCACTAGAATCAGACTAATGTTTTCTCCTCAGATTTCTGAAGGGAAATATTGCAATAGTTACTCCTTACACTCACCACAAGAGGTTAAATCGGTAACACTTTATACATAATAAAATTATTTTTAATGCATTGATTTTGCCTTGCAATACACCTTATAATGCAATGTATGATCTCATGAATAATTGTAACTATTGTCTATTCATTGTTACACCTTTAGAAAGTATAATGCATTAAAACACGTGACAAACAACCAATTTCAGATGTAACAAGGAATCTGCGAAAATTATACTGCATTTTAACTTTGCTTACAATTATTTATGAAAATATATAAAGCATTTCAAATAATGTATCGGCTGTTTTACTACCAAGTACACTTTCTGCTATCATACTAAGTCAATTATTTATTGGTTAACTTGCTCATTTGTTCATTAATTTTCACTAAAGATTATCAGTCATCAAAGTTCAGAAAACACTGCAGGTGTCGTGATGACCGTTTGTTTGATGTGTGACGTTACTTGAGCTTACCGTTCACATCATTCATACGTTTTATGCTTTATTCTGCTATTTTTAAATAGTGCTAGTTAGGGCTGTCACTTTTATGAAAAAATCCTGTTCGATTTTTGAATCGTTGAAGTGTTCATTGAATCGATTGTAAAATCGATTTTCCATGTCTAAAGACATTTCCATTTTCAACACCAAATACAGGCAAATCCACGGACACCTAACAGGCATTAGGACGAGCGTATAGAGGGCGCTTGAGACGCACAAGTCAGCAATATTCCTGATGATTTATTGGCGTGAAGTTTCAGCACAATGACAAACAGAAGCGCAACATTCAGGGATTGAGATTAACACCCTCAACCCGCCAAATGCGGTAAAAAATGAACTTTGGCGGGAAACGCTGCCAAATCACGAGCCAATCTGGCGTGTTTCTGTGTTTACTCACTTTGCTGGGGAAGTTCGTGTAAGACAAATCTGCGTGGATTTAGCGCAAATCCTCAACTCGTGATCCTCATGATATATTAAATACAGCGTATTGTAGAATCTGCTAATTTCTGGCTTACTTGAACACACACGTCACTACGCAACACATAGCGAATATTAACCCTCGGGTCAGCTATTGCGCCGGCGCGACAAGCTCACTTTTTTCCTTATCAGTGCAAAAGAGACTCAAATTACTCTGTTGATTTTGATCTTACATATAAGTGTTGGACATCATTAGATCCTGTTAAGTGTCTATTTTTTTTGTGGATACTCACAATAAAAACAAAGTGTTCTGCTTTTTGTCAAATAAAGAAAAATAAACATGATGCGAATTTTGCCTTCTTTCTGTCAGTGAAGTTCATTCTTAAACGCATCCGAAAATGAACTAACTCAGTCAATACTTGTCACACAGGCACGAAAGATTTTTCGTTATGAAGCTGAAATTCTCTTCTTTTAAATTAAGTAATTTATACATATTCTCAGTTTATGTAATCTGTATGAAAAGAGAGAGATGTCAGTCTTTTTCCTTTCAGCTAATTATAGCTTACTTGTGAGTCCTCATGATATATTAAAGGGATACTCCACTTTTTTTGGAAATAGGCTCATTTTACAACTCCCCCAGAGTTAAACTGTTGAGTTTTACCGTTTTTGAACCCATTCAGCCGATCTCCGGTTCTGGCGGTACCACTTTTAGCATAGCTTAGCATACATCATTGAAGTGGACAAGACCATTAGCATTTCTCAAAAATAAATGACCAAAGAGTTTCGATATTTTTCCTATTTAAAACTTGACTCTTCTGTAGTTACATCGTGCACTAAGACCGACGGAAAATGTAAAGTTGCGATTTTCTAGGCTGATATGGCTAGGAACTATACTCTCATTCCTGCGTAATAATCAAGAAACTTCACTGCCGTACCATGAGTGCAGCAGGCGTAATGATATGACGCAGCGCCTGAAAATAGTTCCGTTGTGTTGACGGAAGGTGGCCTATTTTCAGGCGCTGCGTCATATCATTACGCCTAATGCTAATGGTCGTGTCCACTTCAATGATGTATGCTAAGCTATGCTAAAAGTGGTACCGCCAGAACCGGAGATCGGCTGAATGGGTTCAAAAACGGTAAAACTCAACAGCTTAACTATGGGGGAGTTGTAAAATTAGCCTATTTCCAAAAAAAGTGGAGTATCCCTTTAAATACAGCGTATTGCGCAGAATCTGCTCATATCTGGCTTACTTGAACACACACGTCACTACGCAACAAATACCGGCGCGCTTGTTCACTTGCATTGAAGTTATAGCGAATATTAAAAAGCATTTGGTGAACAGAAAAGACATTTTCCAAATCCTACATGTTCTGTGTCCTGTATTGATCTGTCCACCTAAAACACATTTTTTTTAATTTTTAAAAAGGCAGTTAAAATCGATTCCCTATTTTCGTTTTCGAAACTTGTGTTGGTCGGTCCGATCGATTGTGCAGTCGATTTTCGACCGTAAAGTGACAGCCGTAGTGCTAGTTGTGACATTAGTGATCAGATCCACATTATACAGTCGTTTAGCCTCCTTCATTCTCAGCACAATACAGTCTTTTCTTCAAACCCTGGAGTTAGATTGTGTTTCTCAAACAAAGGACGTCTGAGGAACACGTTCTCCGGCCGGCTTATAATTCAGCGGCTCGTTGTCGTGACCTTCAGCCTCGTGTCATTTCCTTCGAGGCATAAAGGTGCTAATTGAAATGACACTCTCTGCTCCCAACAATCCCATTATTGAACAGATACGAGCTGGTAATTAAAAAGTAATTCCTGTGCTGCTTTGTTCTGGGTTATGGCTATCTTAAAGAAGGCCTTCACGGCTCCTCTGATTCTCATTTCCAGTTGATGTGTCCTCCATTAATGTGAATGGCTTCTCTGCTCTGATCGCTCTGTGGCGTCTCTCCATCGCTCGTCTTTAATAACTAATTAAAAGAGGAGGCTAGAAGGGCTCCTCAAATGCTCAAATTAGATTTTCTTCTCCTTCATAAGCGTCTTGTGGTTTAATTTGATTGGAGGATTAAGCAGTAAGAGAAAGAACGTCCTTTTAAACCTGTCTTGCTCTTCTGTGTTGAACGGCTCAGTTTCGACACAATGAGACGTCTGGATATTCATTTATTTTCCCATGCAGTATTTTGACGACTCGTGTCACTGTTGGAACCACTTAATCAGAAGTTTCTTTGTGAAATTACATCTGCATATATAATATATCACCTGAGACGTTACATCGGGCGTCCAATGTCCTGTTGTGAATGAGCTTGCTTGTTAAAAGTATAATCGAACGTTATATTTACACTTCAGGCTTGATTTTGTCTGTGGGGATTTTGATTGGATGGTTGTGGTTTGCTATTGGCTGATCTCATGTGATTGACAGGTTGTTGCCCCGCCCTCGTTATCAGAGAAGAGATGCTGCTAGAGGAAGTTATTCTGATTAAAGATTATGAGGCACATGAATTAAAAAACAAATTATGTGCATGAATGATCATTTGTAATAAATACTGCAATATTCTATTAAAAATAAGAATTGCCGATTTTGATTTCATGGTGACTTTATATGTTGATGGAGACAATCTGTAATTGAGTGAGAGTGAGTGAGAGTGAGTGAGAGTGAGTGAGAGTGAGTGAGAGTGAGTGAGAGTGAGTGAGAGTGAGTGAGAGTGAGTGAGAGTGAGTGAGAGTGAGTGAGAGTGAGTGAATTTGTGTGTGTGAGAGAGAGAGTGTGTGTGTGTGTGTGTGTGTGTGTGTGTGTGTGTGTGTGTGTGTGTGTGTGTGTGTGTGTGTGAGAGAGTGTGCGTGTGTGAGAGAGTGTGCGTGTGTGTGAGAGTGTGTGTGTGTGAGAGTGTGTGTGTGAGAGAGCGTGTGTGTGTGTGTGAGAGCGTGTGTGTGTGTGAGAGCGTGTGTGTGAGAGCGTGTGAGAGAGGGTGTGTGTGTGAGGCCTGGTAAATAGACACCAATATCAAAAATCAAATTTTTTGCTCCTCATGAGGAAAACAGCTTATAAAGCAGACTAAGTGATGTTTTTTCAAAATGTTAAAACGCAGAATGTTTTGTGTCGGGTTAGTGTAACCGGAGAGAATATACAGTTTGAACAGTATAAAAACCATTATGTCTATGGAGAGTCCCCATAAAACATGAAAACCCAACGTGTGTGTGTGTGTGTGTGCAGGTGCTCCGCCCCCATCAGGTGGTATGGTGATGATGCACCTGGCGTTACCGGCGTCTCAGCAGCTTCAGTCTCATTCCCCCCCGCAGTGGAAACACAACAAATACTACGAGCACAAGCCCAGCGAGATCTGCTGTCTGGACACGTCACGAGTAAGAACACACTCCAACGCCAGAAATACACTCATGACATTTACAATTTAAAACTTTTCAACAGCCGTAAATCTGTTTATTTATTGCTTTATTTCACGTACATAATGGTGCGTTCACATCATGATGAAGTTCCTGTAATCACCGGTGCCTTCAAGTCCTTCTGGGAAGTTTGCACTAGTTGGAATAAAGTCGTAATTACGATGTCGGGTGCGTTCAAATCGCGAAAAAATAAAAATCAAGATTATTTAGCTGTACTTAAAATGATAAATCTTTCTTTTTTTTATGTAGGTGCTGTAAATTCAATCTCATCTCTATATTCTTTCGTCATTGTACAACACTCATATTTTGTGCATGTTTATTGTAAATTTGAAAAAAATTATGTAATTAATTTCAACAAATTTGTCATCAATACAGGAGACGCATCTGTTGCATTAACAGACTCAGAATCTCTTATGAATTTGTGCTTGTGTTCATGTGCATTCAACCTGTAAATATGAACTTTCCGACATGATTTGAACTCGTATACGAGTGTTTTGCATCCTTAAGGTCTTTGCACACTGAGTCTGAATTTTTCATATGCGTTTTTTCGTATTCGTCACACAAAAATTCGTCATGCATAGACCTTGCACACTGAGTCCGATGCGTATTAATTAGTGCTGTCAAACGATTCAAATATTTAATCGCGATTAATCGCATTAATGTCATAGTTAACTCACAATTAATCGCATTAATGTCATAGTTAACTCACAATTAATCGCATTAATGTCATAGTTAACTCACAATTAATCGCATTAATGTCATAGTTAACTCACAATTAATCGCATTAATGTCATAGTTAACTCGCGATTAATCGCATTGTCATAGTTAACTCGCGATTAATCGCACATTTTTATCTATTCTAAATGTCTCTTGATTACTTTTTGTCCCATTCTTTTTTTCTCATTTTAATGCTCTTATCAACATGGAAAAGTGGATCGGCTTGCTTTGTGCAAATGTTTTTTATTGAAAACAACACTGGCATATACTGTGTTCAATTTCACACTAACATTCTCACTTGGAGCAAATAATCTCTCACACAATGTAACACTGTCCATCTATAAAAGGGTGAAAGAAATACTGACGACTGACGATTCGCATCAGCTGTGTGTGTGTGTGTGTGTGTGTGCTTGGCCATCATCAAGTGGTGTTTCAGACTGGACGTGCTGCGATGATGATGATAGCTCAGTTCACAACGACAAAACACACAGATCACTTTGGTCTCGTCAATGGACCCATTTGGCAACTTTTTAAAAGTAAACTTTCCATTCAGAATCTTATTGGCCTCCATTTCGGCGTCTCGCGCTCGTCATCCACTCAAAACGTAACGTTAACCTACTATTTGGCCGGCTCGCAAGCCCAAACGAGTGTGTGCGGTGCCTGTTGTTTTGTTTCCGGTCTAGCTAACGTTAGATCCGCTTGCGCTTTGGTGGACGAAGCAACAAAACGTCCTCGCGCGGCGCAAAACATTGAAACTAATGTGTTTCATAGCGCAGCGCCGCGTCCTGTTGCAAAAGCATGTGAAAAAAACGACAAAAAGACCGTTAATCGCGCGATAAAAAAATTGACGCCGTTAAAATGGTTTTGCGTTAACGCCGTTAAAGTCCCCGTGAACCGGAAGTTGCAAACGAATTTTCTCCAGTGTTGTGACGTATTTCCGAAAGAAACGGAATACTAAATGAGGCAAAATAGTGGGCGTGGCTTTTTTTCAACTAGCACCTGATTGGATCTAGAAAAGTAGGTGTTTTCATTCAGCCTGTCTACTGTCAGTTGGAGGGGCGTGGTTACAGATGTTAAGCAGACGCCCAAACCGTCAAACCTATGTCATCAGGGAAGGTCCTCCAATGCAGAGGGGAGGGGAAATTTCAGATTTTGATTCAGATTTTTTAATTTTTTTGTGTGGATTGACTTGCATGGATGAATTGTTCACCACAAAACGATCAATTTAGGCAAACAAAGTAAGTATGGTCAATTTTGAATTCATGGGGACTTAATAACGCGTTTAACTGACAGCCCTAGTATTAATTAATCCGTTGCGAATGAAAGAAAAAAATTAAAATTCGCAAAACAATACAAAATGGAGTCTTTATGCAGTGAGGATGATTTTGTTGTCCTCTCTCTTCTTAAAAAGAGAAAAAGAAAGAGGAATCAAGGACGAGGAGCTGCGGGATTATCCCGAGCGATTCAAGGTTTACTTCAGGATCTCAGTGTGATGCTTTGCTAGCGATACTGGAGCCACATATTAAAAACAAGACCACCAATGTCCGTGAACCAATCGATCCTGAACAGTTCATTTTGGCGTACGCTTGTACGGTGGCTCTGAATGGTCAAAACATCTCTATAAATGCTTGCTATGGATGTGAAAAACCCACAAAATTGTAGCCGATCCATTTTTTTATGACGAACGAAATTCTCGGAGGCGGTGTGTAAACATGATTGGTCGTATACATTTTTTAACGTGCGAAAATTTCGGACAGGCTCGATGTGCTAGGACCTTTAGTCCACCTTTAGGGATCCATGTGCAGATTTGACAACAACAAAATCACTTTAATGCACCTTTCTGAGAAATAAAATCGGGCAGCAGTGTGTACTTTTTTAGTGGGAGCTTGTAAAATTTGTTCACATCTTTGTCGATGTCACATGATTCCTCATATCGTGAATGCAACTTCATGTCGATGTTCAACCGTTTGTGTGCAGAACAGTCCTCAGATCTGCAGCCCGTCCACCTCGCCGGCCCAGTCGCCCACACCAACACACCTCACTAATGTAAAGAACATCCGTCCAGGCCTCAACACCCTTCCCATCATGCCTCACTTCTCCAGACCCTTTGTTTCAGGTCAAGGTGAGTCCTCTCGTCCTGTCTGGTGTTTATTAAAGCATTGAAGTCGTTGTGAGGCTCATCGGGTGTGTGTATTTGTGTCAGGTGACGTTCGCTATCCTCTTCTGGGACACGCGCTCCAGTACGGCCCTCAGATTCGCCCTCCGTTACTTCATGCCCCCCCCATGATGTCCAGTCAGGTCAGACCACCAATCACGTTTCAGATCACACACATATGACAAAACCAGTCACGAGTCGCACGGGTGTATCTGTGGCAATAGCCAACAATACATTGCATGGGTCAAAATTATATATATATATTTTATTTTTTATGCCAAAAATCATTGGGATATTAAGTAAAGATCATGTTCCATGAAGATATTTTGTAAATTTTCTACCATAAATATATATAAAAAAAATATTTTTGTGAGTGAATGCTGCACAATCGCGAACATAAATGCACAACTTTAAAGGAGATTTTCTCAATGTTTTGATTTTTTTTTTTTTTTTTGCACCCTCAGATTCCAGATTTAGTTGCATCTCGGCCATATATTGCCCTATCCTAACAAACATACATCAATGGAAAGCTTATTTATCCAGCTTTCATGTGATGTATCAATCTCAATTTCAAAAAAATTTACCCATGTGACTGTTTTTGTGGCCCAGGGTCACATATTTTACAGTGAAAACTGATTATCCACTTTAACCAGTCTCACTTCAGTTTCGATTATGGGAGATTTTTAAATATTAATGTGACTTTTTGTGCAATTCACAAAAAATTGGCACCTATGAATTTTTCCTGCAGAAAAAGAATCTTGACCGAAATCTCAACTCTCAACTCTAGTCATATTTGTGACCATAATACGTGCGAATGAAACGTCCAGCTGCTTTTGCCCCTCAGCACTGAGGTTGTGACAGAAAGTGTGTGTTTGTTAAATTAATTTTGTTCATCTTCTGTTTAGGCTCCTGTAGGGATTCGACACGCTGGGCGAGGCAGGAAGCCTCACAGGAAAGCGCTTTCTACAGATCTCAGTGTAGGTGGCCCTACAAGTGTGACTAAACCATATACATATGATAAATACATTTATATATATATATGATCTTTATTTATATATATATATTAGGGTTGAACGAGTCACTAAACCTGGTTAAGAGATTTATTTGACACAATTATTTGGCAAACTTATAGATAAAAGAAATTAATACTTTTATCCATCAAGGACGCATTAAATTGATCAAAAGTGACAGTAAAGACATTTATAATGTTAGAAAAAGATTCTATTTCAAATAAATGTAATAGAACTTTCTATTCATCCAAGAATCCTGAAAAAAATATAAAAAATAATAATAGATGTTTTTTGAGCATCAAATCCTCATATTAGAGTGATTTCTGAAGGATCATGTGACACTGAAGACTGGACTAATGATGCTGAAAATTCAGCTTTGATCACAGGAATAAATTACATTTTTAAATATATTAAAATAGAAAACAGTTATTTTAAATTGTAATAATATTTCACAATATTACGGTTTTGTTTTTTGTATTTTTGATCAAATAAATGCAGCCTTGGTGAGCAGAAGAGACTTCTTTTAAAAATATTAAAATCTTACCGATCCAAACTTTTGAACGGCAGAGTATATATATTGTCGTAAATATATATATATATTTTTACACATATGTCTCATATGTCATAGAAGTGTGATTAAACCATACAAATATGAGGAAAATATATATAATTTTTTTTTAATATGAGGGAAGAACAAGTCACTGTTACATTGTGGTCATATATATATATATATATATATATATATATATATATATATTTATATTTATATTATAGTCAACCCAGTGGCCATTACTTTTTTACCTTTAACATTTAGCTTGTGTTGCTCCATGTTGTTATTGTTGTACAATCTTCAGACTGATCAAATGAAGCATGTCTCCCACAGATGATGCAACACAAAGTAAAAATAGATGATTATGAATCTGTCTAACACTGTATTCTTCAGTCTGTGTATTGAGTTTGTTCTGATGATGCAAGAAAAACTAAAACACTGTAGCTAAAATAGATGATTATGAATCTGTCTTTGACACGGCTGATATTTGTTTTGTGACGGCCCGTGTCTCCTCCAGTGATCGCTGGTGTGCCGAGGAGCTTCAGTCGTGTGGATTTGACCCCGCCGTGACCTCCTACACCGCCCTGCTTCAGACTCGCCCAGCTAATAACACTGACACAGCCTGTGACGCCTTCACCCTTCCACACGAGGGCGCTCTGACTGACGGTGGGTGTCTCCGCTCCTGCCGTTTGAGAAAGGAAACGATCCGAACTGAAAGTGTTCTGCGATTGACTGGAACATATCAAAATGCAGCCGGAACTGTGTTGTTCTTTATTTTTTTATCTGCGTTTATTGGTTTGTTTTTGTTTTTTATTTGAATATTCTAGTATTAAAACACACCAGATTGGACTTTTTTGGGGTTGATTTTCAGTTGTTTGTATCACATTTGCATTAGTTCTCTCAGCGCGTGCCTTCAGACGACAGAGCGAACGAGCGAGTCTCGTGTCAGTCAGACACAACCTGCTTTTGTGTACATCATTTATGAAGAAGCGGTGTCGTTCAGTTTCCTCTGAATTCTGGGAATGGACGCCAGTACGAGCGACCGCATTGTTGTACATTTCCCTCGGGTTTTTTTTAATTTAAGACGTTCAAAAAAACGAATCACCAGCTGATCACATTTTTTAATAAGTTTGTGTTTCACAAACGGTCTTTTAATACATTCTTACTGGGGAAAATAAAAAAACGAGCTGGGGAAAACGACAAAGTGCACATTTATACAAACTCGATATATATACAGTAAAATCTATTTTTAGTCTGAAAGGCTGTTAAATTTTTACGATTTTTATTTTAGTTTGAGACCCAATAAATGTTTACACCAAATGATCTACTTTATCAAACACTGACGTCCTTTGCCATGAATCAGTTTGTCGTTTTTATACATGTAGAAATGCCTTGGCTCTCTGTCATTTATCCCGATTTATTGTTCAGGCTGGAGGCATGGGCGTTGTGAAGCGTCGTTCGGTTCGCTCCGGTCTCAGCCGATGGACGGTGTCGTTCATCTCAATTCTGCTTTTATTGGGTCATTTGTCTCCTACATTAACCTGCCGCTCACCTCATCTGTCCAAACGCCCCTCAGTTCATCTAGATCGTTCTCTGCGCTTTCCTCCTCCAATAACGTCAAAGTAATTTGCCGGAAGAAAAATCCCCACACCTGCCGGTGTCCTTATTGAGCCCGAGGGAACACAAGAAGTGCTGGAATCCATAATGCACGGCTTTATCCTCATATGAACAACGCTCTTTTCTGTCCGGTACGGGTGTGTGCCAAATGGCTCCGTGCCGGCGAGATTATTAACGTGTAATTAAATCAACATCTGGAGAGCTCAGCCGCGTGAGGATATAATCTCGCTCGGCTTTGAGCTTCTGTTTGTTCAGCAATAATTGATGTTTTTATCAGAAAGCCTCCAGTTTCATCATCCAGTGCTGGGAAAAGTGTGCTTCATAAAGACATGGCTAAAGGACACTTAAAACAACTGAGCAGAATCAGATAATTGACCTTTTCACACACACACTAATGACGTGTTTCTTTCCATAAAAGGTTTTTTTTTTTTGGCACATTTGTCTTATTTTCCTTTTTTGTCATTTTTTCTTCAGACCAACGAACATGATCAATCTCTTTTTTTTTTTCTTTTTTTTTTCGCTTTATGAAAGTTATAAACGCTTTTATACTTTGCTATTGAGCTAAAATAATGTTTGATGTCATCTCCCGTTCACCGAGTTTGCCCAAATATGACGACGACGACTTCTGCGAGTCAAGAGTTCATGATCAAGGGTTCAAAACTGGAATTACACCAAATCAAAGAACAACGAGTTTAAGGGTGAATTAGACATTTGTTTGGATCCAGTGCAAAAACTGCAGACTTGATGCATGTATTCTGAGTAAAAACAACATTTAAATCACTAATATTTCATAACAGTTATAGTAGTTTGTCCAGAAAGGCTCTAAACTTTGTGATATAAACATATTTTCCAGGGTTTCTGCGGGTCTGAAAAGTCTTGATTTGCCCTTACACAAATTAAAAAGGTCTTAAATCAGGGCTAAATCATACTTTTAAATGGAAAATAAAGTCTTGAAAGTTTTAATACAGTTATGTGAGTTTATGACTAAAACAAGAATGAATATCTGTGTCAATGTGTTGTGATGTGAAAACCTTTTGAATTACCACATATTTGTTCTGGTTTTAATCATAAACTCGGTTCTTTTTGATCAATTTCACAGAAAACAAGACATCCTATTTTATGTCAGATTGTATCTCCAGTAAATACATTTTGATTTAAGAATCTTTAGACATTTGCATTGGAAAACAAGACAAAACTACAGAGGAAGAACACAGGTAAAGTGATTTCTGTATTCGGGCGGATGGGGACAGAGCGATTAAAACGTTTGTTTTTGTTAAATAAATTATATATTTGTTTAGATATCTTTTGGAAGTGTTGCTACAACTCCTTAGTTTTTCTCCCTAGACTTTTACATTTAGAGAACACATTGACGTATTGATTTCCCTTCAATATATTTCTTTACTTGGTCTTAAAAAGTCCTTCTGTTGTGAAAATCCAGCTTTTAATGTTGTTTATGTGTGTATGTGGTGTTTTTAATATGCTTTTAAGACAAACCATGTATAAATTCATAAGTCGACAGCATTGCTGAGTATTTTCTGCTTAAAACTGCAGTGAACCAAAGACAGTCTCAAAAACACGGTTTGAAATCGCTGGTGTTTCTGACGTCACAAACGACCTTGTAACCAATCAGAGCAACGTGTGATCGTCAGCGAGTGGATCTCTGAGCTGAGTGAGTGAGTGGAGGCGGGGCTCATTTGCATATTCATAGAACCGCGAATACTAAATGAAGCAAGGGTGTCGAGTTACATTCAAGATATTTTAAGGCATGAATACTTTTTTTCAAGGAAAAAACATATAAATATGTAATTTTGGTGATCAAATATGAGTTTTAAGACATAAAATGATTGACTACGGGCGACTTTAAATTTACCGTCACACAACCCGCAGAAGCCCTGTGTTCATATGAGTGAACGGATGGAGAACTCCAGGTATTGTAGACCTCACTTCATGTTAAAACACACTTGAGTTTCGTGCTTTTCCATGTTTTAATCGGCTGATTACCGACTTGTGATCTGGGATCAGTGTAAACAGGCCGAATGCACATTCAAGACATGGGATTTGAAAACTTGCTTGAACAACAACAACCTCTGTCTTTTTATTTTGCTTAACTGGAGAATATAATTCACAGCCCAGCTGATAAACTTGTAAAAGCAACATAAAGCAGATTAAGGAGAGTTATGATCACCAGTTGGGAGATATATAATATACAGGTAAAGGTAAGAACATCTCAGACGGTCAGAAATTGACCAGATGTGATTAGAAACTTGGATTGTGTCCGAAATAAACTCCTATACCCTTATAGGGCGCTATTTGAGGACACAGCCGTTTGTAGTGGCGTCCAAAACCAAAGGGGACATAATCAAGTGCACATGATCAATCCCATAATGCACCTCAAAAACAATAAATGAGCGTTGTTAAATCGATTCTGTTTTTTATAGCGCTGTTAACATGTATTCAGTTAAGCATAGGCAGGGAACATGTTTAATCAGCATTTGAAACTTTTGCTCGTAATGATTACAATATGAGGATGATGATCGTTTTGAATGGCGACCCAAGTTGACGTCATCTGAATTCTTCGGGCTGAAAACATCGCAAAGGCTGGATCTTCCTTGCACTGAATGAAGTAGGTGGTGCTCATTGTCCTCATTTTCATCCAACCATTCATCTAGTATTAGTGGAGTAATGTAGGGAATGGTGAACGAGGGGTGATGATGATTTGGATACAGTCCATGGTCTCATCAGGACACTAATGTTAGTGTGCAGCGCCATCTTGTGTGACCGTGATTGAACTCCTTCACACATAAAATAAAGTCACCATAAAATATTTTTTTTATGAACGATTTCCATTTATATAAAAAACTGCAATGTTCCAAAATAAATAAAATTGGTCAGTTTTAATTTCATGGTGACTTCGAGTACAACAGACAAACAGTAGATCGATAAAGAAAAGTTTCAAATATGAGGCTCGGGTTTTGTCTTTTTTTATTTTTTTCATAACATTTCACCGTTCTACATTCTATAACGCTTTAAATAGCCTGGTTTCAAAGCAGCTTCAAGATTATTGCTTTATTTTGTGTATTTCACTTACATTATGCGTTCTGAGGATGTTATCTTTAGGTTATAAAATAAAACCTAAAAATAACCTGTAAGAAAAGTTCTGGGAAGGTTCTCTTTCGGTTATAAAATAAAATAATAATAAAAAACAGCAGGGAAAGTTCTGGGCAGGTTCACTTTAAAAAGAAAAGCTACAGAGGTTCCCCAAAAACCATAAGAGAACGTTAGGGGAATGTTCTGTGTTTGCTGGGAAACTACTTTTTTCTCACAATTCTGACTCTTTTATATCCACTGATCTATATAAATGATTTATATCGATAAATATATAGATCTATTCATTTAAATAGACCAGTCAGTGTTTATACTTCACAAGTCAGTGAGAAAATGTGAATGAATCGATGGCGCTAGAAATCCCAGAATGCTTCACTCTCTGCCCTGTCGGGCGCGATCAAGCCTGTCCTTACAAATTGTTTTATTTTCACGAAATCCATTTGTAGGAACTGTTCCTGTTCACACAAGAGCCGGGCACACTTTTGATGCTCTTCGTTTGTGTTTTGGTGAGAATATTTCCACACGGATTCCTGTCAGTAACTCTGTGGAGTGACGCTGTTGTGGACGCGTTGCTATGGTGACGCGGCGCTCATATTCACCACGCGGTTGCTGCTGAACCGGCTGAAGATCATCATCATCATCATCATCATAATCCTCGGGGTTTATGGATCATTATGAGGTTATTCGACAGGTCGGTCAAGGCGCGTTCGGGAGCGCGCTTCTGGTCAAACACCGACACGGAGGCGATGAGCTGCTATACGTCATCAAAGAGATTCACCTGAGACAGGTAAAGTTAGATCCGAGCCACTTCTGACTGCTTGACATTAAAAATAAAATGTCATTTCAGAATTTGTGACTGTGTGCTGGAGATTTTCTGTAAAGCTGCTTTGAAACTAGGCTATATTTATACAAATAAACTTGGATTGAATCCGATCATGACCAATTCTTCAACATTCATATGGAATTTTTTTCAGATTTTGGAGAAAAAGTTTGACGTTTGTCTTTGTAAGTTGGGAACAATGGGAAACAGTCTGGATTTACTTTTATACAGCAACATATTTAGATATAAGTTTAGCATACGTGCAGGATGATGATGC